TTTTATTTTTTTTTTGCTTCTCTTCTTTGGCTTTCGTTTCTAAGATGGTGGATCCATTCTTACTATTGGTTCTCGTTTATACTTGCATTGTAGTATTTTTTGGGTTAGCAGAACCATCAGTCTTGGTAACATATTCAGCTAGATTGAGCAAGTGAGTAGAGTCAGTTCTTCTATACAAACGTGAAAAATGTGTCTTAAGGTAGAATTTGAGGGATCAAAGAGAACATTTGTAAACCTTTAAGTGCTGGGTGATTATTTCTCAATTCATGAATAAATGGATTTAGCAGATCTTTGATTAAGGCTTAACTTGTCAACTCCTAGCTGATTGGCGATGTAGGCTGATTCAATATGTTCATCTGCTTAAGCCATTTCTAGATTTAGGTCAATATTGCGGACATTGTTCAGATGTCATAAATGTAGCTCAAACCTGGTGAAACATGTGAAGTGTCAATGTTTGTGCGAGGTCACTGTGTTTATGAGTTATTATGGGGCTGTAAAATGTTGGGTAATCCATTATGCAACTGGGTCGTACAATGGTGAACTGCTACTTTTGTTTATGCATTGTCAGTATATGCCTCCATACATTGGAGCAAAAAAAAAAAGATTTGGCAGTCACTAAAACATCAGTGTTGCAGAGCAAATGGAGGCAGTGGAAGAGTCACCTTGCTGTTTGCCAATTAGAGGCGAAATTTTCAAATATCATGAACACTAACAAAAGGGTCTCCAAATTAGGTTCATACCGAAAACTGGTGTTTATTTCCGTTATGATGTGAGTCTTTGGTCTTTATATACCGTTATGTTGGTGAAGACCATCTGAACGGTTTGCAGTGGGAAAATGTTTCAGCGGGGACTGATTTTACTGCTACACACCGACATCACAAGATGTTTGAAAAGTAATTAGCATTTAGTATGCTAACCATAAAGCAAGCAGAGGTAACTGGGCCAAAAACGCATGAAAGTGCAAGTGTCCATCACACGAAAAAGTAAATGGTAACATACAAAAGATGCATAGTTGGCGTGTTGTCCACATGCTGTTTCACACTTTTGGCTAAGGCCAGACTAGCCTTGGTTGTTTACCTCGCTGCTAATTGGCTGCCAAGACTTAGGGTTGAACCAATGCACAAGGATGAAACAGTGTATTTTTTTATGATACTATCTTTTGAAATCATTGAAGTGTAAAATATGTGATGATGACCATACTTTCACAAACAGTTATTACTCTAAACGATTTAATTGTTCCGATGTTTTTCTTGCTAACAGATGTATCCTAGCAAACAAAAAATACACATCTGGTGCTTTTTTGGGCAGAGTGTTGTATGGAAAAATAGTAAAATACCATAAAACCCATATCATTTATTAAAGGAGTTTAACACTGAAAAACATTTTTAAATGATTATTTCTAATTATAATCAGTCACTCTGAGTTTTTCATGCAGGCTGAACATTAAAATGGTCTCCTGCACCTATCTCCTGCACTAGCTTCTGATAGAAAATAGACGGTGAAACTCTAGGATTTAAAAAGCCGGACAGATCTACATCACACTGTCACAACAGTCTTGGACTCACCCATCTTGACTCGCGACGGGGAAGGCTGTTGTTGTTTTAGCATCCAGCAAACAATAGATAATGTGTTGACTAGCAGAAGCTAACTGTTAGCATTAGCAACTCCACCACCTGGCAGAAGGTCAGCCGGGCTTGTTATTTGGGAGATAAAACATCAGTGTTGCAGAGCAAACTGAGTCTGTGGTACAGTCGTATTCCTGTTGCCCAATCCATGCCCAAATATCAGGAAATAAGAGTCCAAATCCTGTTGTGTTCTACCACTCTCTCCTCCAGCTGACTCCTGAGCTGATACAGGTGCTTCTGGGCTTTTTTCTCCCCCAGAGTAGGACTTACAAGGCATTCATTCCTACTAGAGACTGCTGCAAATGTATTGATTAAATGACTGTATGTCTTTTAAAATGACAAATGTATTGAAGTAACCAGTGTAGGCTGTCTTTAAAGCTTCCTTCTGGAGTATTTCTCTTATCCAATGGCACCATCTAGTGGCTGACAAGCGTATCACACTAAAACGCTTTTCCTCAGTTTTTTTTAAGATGGCTACTTTACATTTCTGTTTATAAATGTGCTTCTGTAGCCGACAAACAGAACTAAAACACGTAGTTTTACGAGTATTATTCTCATGTCATGCTGTGTTTTCATATATTTATATTTTAGAGACTCACTTGTCTGTGAAAAGTTCATCAACTCTGCATCAGCCGAGGTATTCCTTAAATTAGAGGCGTCTTAAGTGGTAGTCTAACGCTATTGGTTAGTTCTGATCGGCGCTCAGTTTCCTATTACATGGAGTTCTGCCGGGCAGGGGGCGTGCTTAGCAAAAAAATAAAATAAAATAAATAAGACGTATTGCTTATATTATATCACAGTACATAAGATAATCACTTTTACGTATTTCTGACAAATCATACATAATTTTTGAAAGAGGATAACTCCGGAAAGCAGCTTTACGTATGAAAGGACAAATAATTCACAATATACAGGTGCTGGCCAGTAAATTAGAATATCATCAAAAGGTTGAAAATATTTCAGTAATTCCATTCAAAACGTGAAACTTGTACATTATATTCATGCAATGCACACAGACCAATGTATTTCCGATGTTTATTACGTTTAATTTTGATATTTATAGGTGACAACCAATGAAAACATCAAATCTAGTATCTCAGAAAATTAGAATATTCTAAAGGCCAATGAAAAAATGTTTGTTTCTCAAATGTTGGCCAACTGAAAAGAATGAACATGAAAAGAATGTGCATGTATAGCACTCAATACTTAGTCGGGGCTCCTTTTGCCTCAATAACTGCAGTAATGCGGCGTGGCATGGACTCGATCAGTCTGTGGCACTGCTCAGGTGTTATGAGAGCCCAGGTTGCTCTGATAGTCGTCTTCAGCTCCTCTGCATTGTTGGGTCTAGCGTATTGCATCCTCCGCTTCACAATACCCCATAGATTTTCTATGGGGTTAAGGTCAGGCGAGTTTGCTGGCCAATCAAGGACAGGGATACCATGGTCCTTGAACCAGGTGCTGGTGGTTTTGGCACTGTGTGCAGGTGCCAAGTCCTGTTGAAAGGTGAAGTCTGCATCCCCATAAAGTTGGTCAGCAGCAGGAAGCATGAAGTGCTCTAAAACTTCCTGGTAGACGGCTGCATTGACCCTGGACCTCAGGAAACAGAGTGGGCCAACACCGGCAGATGACATGGCACCCCACACCATCACTGACGGTGGAAACTTTACACTGGACCTCATGCAACGTGGATTCTGTGCTTCTCCGCTCTTCCTCCAGACTCTGGGTCCTTGATTTCCAAAGGAAATGCAGAACTTGCTTTCATCAGAAAACATAACTTTGGACCACTCAGCATCAGTCCAGTCCTTTTTGTCCTTGGCCCAGGCGAGACGCTTCTTGCGCTGTTTCTTGTTCAAGAGTGGCTTGACACACGGAATGCGACACCTGAATCCCATGTCTTTCATGAGTCTCCTCGTGGTGGTTCTTGAAGCGCTGACTCCAGCTGCAGTCCACTCTTTGTGGATCTCCCCCACATTTTTGAATGGGTTTGTCGTCACAATTCTCTGCAGGGTGCGGTTATCCCTAGAGCTTGTACACTTTTTTCTACCACATTTTTTCCGTCCCTTCGCCTGTCTGTTAATGTGCTTGGACACAGAGCTCTGCGAACAGCCAGCTTCTTTAGCAATCACCTTTTGTGTCTTGCCCTCCTTGTGCAAGGTGTCAATGATTGTCTTTTGGACAGCTGTTAAGTCAGAAGTCTTCCCCATGATTGTGGTGCCTTCAAAACAAGACTGAGGGACCTTTTAAAGGCCTTTGCAGGTGTTTTGAGTAAATCAGCTGATTAGAGTGGCAGCAGGTGTCTTCTATATTCAGCCTTTTCAGAATATTCTAATTTTTTGAGATACCAAATTTGGAGTTTTCATTAGTTGTCACTTATGAATATCAAATTTAAATGTAATGAACATTGGAAATACATTGGTCTGTGTGCATTGCATGAATATAATGTACAAGTTTCACGTTTTGAATGGAATTACTGAAATATTTTCAACCTTTTGATGATATTCTAATTTACTGGCCAGCACCTGTATATATATATATATATATATGTATATATATATATATATATATATATATATATATATATATATATCCTTCTGGTAATAATAGGAAGGATAATCAGAGTTTTTCATGCAGGTTGAACATGAAAATAGTTTCCTACACCTATCTCCTGCATTGGCCTTGGACAGAAAACAGATGTCGAAACTCTAGGATTTGAAAAGCCTGACAGATCTATGTCAAGACGTTGTTTAGCCTCCCCCAACTTGGCTCGCGACCGGGAAGGCTGTTATTATTTTAGTGTCCAGAATCAGCGGAGAATGTCTTGGCTAGCAGAAGCTAACTGTTAGCCTTAGCAACTCAACCGCATGGCAGAAGCTCCTTCAGGATTGTGTTATTTGTGGAGATAAAACATCCTTGTCACAGAACAAACAGTGGTAGAGGTGTGTTGCTGTTATCCAATCCGAGGCAAAATGTCCAAATATCAAGAAATAAGACTCCATATCTGCCGCGTTAATCTCTCCTCTGATGTGACAGACTTGTTCTTTGCTGATTCTGGCATTTTTGGGCTTTTTTTTGCCCCGAGTTCGGCTTACAAGGCGTTCATTCGTACCATAGATCACTGCAAATGTATTGATTAACCAAGTTTCCCCACACCTTTTAACACTTGCATAATGATGTGTTGTTAAATTTCTTGGCAGATCTCTGAGATCCATGTCACAGGAGAGTCAGAGGACATGACAGCCAAGGAGAGACTACTTCTGTGGTCCAAACAGATAACAGATGGCTATGTAGGTGTACGATGTGAAAACTTCACAACATCCTGGAGGGACGGGAGGCTGTTTAATGCTATCATTCACAAATACAGGTACTAGTTTGGAGAACAGCCACATTATTGCTGTTTATTAGTATTTAATCTCACCCTGTGTATCTTACCTCACCAGAATCACGTGATTTGAGTCAACTTGCCATTCTCTTCTTTCTCTTTTCCTTTGTCCTGCAGACCAGATCTGGTTGATATGAGGCGTGTGTCGGCGCAGACCAACCGCTCAAATCTGGAGCAAGCCTTTAATGTAGCTGAACAGCTGGGGGTGGCCCGGCTGCTCGACCCTGAGGGTGAGATCTGTACACGGTGTCCTGTTTGCTTTGCTTCTGAAAACACCGTGGAGGCTCGAGAGCCTTTGTGCTATAAATTGTGAAGCTTGGAATTTAGCTTGAGGAAGAATTCCTCAGTTTGGTGTAGTGAAAAAGAAAGCACACTTTCTTTCAGTTTGACGGTTTTAAATATCAGGACTTAATGAAAAAATGAACTGGTTCCTTCCTGTTTTTAAACTAAAGATAACACAACTTCAGAAAACAAGAAAACAGGACATTAGATTCTGTCGTTATATCACTCGTCGCAAAAACACTCAAGGAAACTACATCTGGAGAAACCAGAAGATCTCTGAGACAATCCTCTTTGTATATCAGGTTAAAGATCAAAGTTTGGCAGAAATTCACACTCCTACATACAGACCACATGCAGGAAGTAAAGGTCTTCAATGCAACTGTTGAGCATGGTGGCGGAGTAGTCATGATTTGGGCTTGTTTATTAGTTTATTTTTTTAACAATGAAGTAGGTTGACCCAGAACTTCCCCATAGTTAGTAGTCCATGAATTTAAGCTTGAGTCATGCATTTTGACTATAATCCCAAACTCTTCAACAATACCACAACAATTATTGTTCTAAATTCGGATTGGCTGAGGAAGAAAATAATCAAGGTGTTGGACTAGTTCAGTCAGAAGTCCAAACCTGGATATGTCTGATGTTTGGCGAGGCTTTAGGAAAACTTTTAAACCTCCATAAACCAAATGTTTTAGGAGAGTGGATAGTGGTAGCTTCATGTTGATGTGAAAGGCTGATAGTCACACATTTAGTTATTTAGTAGCTGTGTAAATTTTACATTCTCCTGCAACTTGTTCAGATGTGGTGTGATTTAATGCATTATTGATTTAGTAGAAACCGAAAGGATTACAACTATTTTCAGGTTTGTAAAGCCTAGGCATTGAAGTGTGTGGGCTTTCATTCCCTTCATGTCACAGTAACTCATTGACGTTTTTTTTCTACATTTGTGAACTTATAAATTTTATCTCACCAGATGTTGATGTACAGTCACCTGATGAGAAATCAGTGATCACATATGTCTCAACACTGTATGACGCCTTCCCCAAAGTACCTGACGGGGTGGATGGAATAAATCCTAATGTAAGTGAATAGGGCTGGTGAAAACAGGACATCATTCAGTACGCTGGCTGCAGCTGATGGTTATTTGTCTTTTAACAGGATGTTGATATCAAATGGGTGGAGTACCAGAACATGATCAAATACCTCAGCCAGTGGATCAAACACAATGTGGCCATAATGTTGGACAGATCTTTCCCCAACAACCCCGTGGAACTCAAGGTTTGTTTTTTTCTACAAACGTTTCTAAGTTTATAAGCAGAAGTATCAACGTGTTTCTCTGAGGGCACAATATAACGGTGGAAAAACATGTATAGCACCCTTAAGCCCCTCTTCCTGCTTCTGTAAATACAGCTGGAAGCAATGCTTCTCATTCGTCAGTTTGCACCTCTAGCTGGCCAGCAGAGCTGAAACACAATTAATTTTCTTACATTATGCTGTTTATATGTATTTATTAAAAAGAAATTCCCATCTCACCCTCTGTGGGTGGTCTCATCCTTCCAAGCTCGGGTCCTCTACCAGAGGCCTGGGATCTAGAGGGTTCTCTGCAGTATCTTAGCTGTTTCTGCACTTTTCTGGACTGATGGCTGATGCTTTAGTCACTCCTCCAGGTTGGGGGTTACTGCCCCAAGTGTCCTGATGACCATGGGCACCACCAAAGTCTTCACTCTGCGGGCTATCTGAAGTTTTTCTTTGAGGCCCTGGTACTTCTCTAGTTTCTTGTGTTCCTTTTTCCTGACGTTGCCATCACCACTTTGACCTTGGGGCTTCCAGTCCGTACTCTACGCAGTTGTTCATGTACACGATGCCAGCCACTTGATTGTGGTGTTCCATGGATGCTTTCCCTGCCAGCAACTTACACCCTGCAGTTATGTGGTGGATTGTCTCAGGAGCTTATTTGCATAGCCTACACCTTGGGTCTTGTCTGGTGTGGTAGACCTTGGTCTCCGTTGCTCTGGTGTTCAGGGCCTGTTCCTGTGCAGCCATGATGAGTTTCTCTGTGCTGTCCTTCAGACCAGCTCTTTCTAGCCATTTGTAGGATTTCATGTTATCCACCACTTCAGTTATCTGTAGGTGGTACATCCCATGTAGGGGTTGATATTTCCCGTGTCTCCTCCTCTTTTCACAATTGTCTGAGGTAAGCTTAGCAAAAAGAAAATTGATGTATTGCCTACAATATATCACTGTTACAGATCTCTAAAAAAAATCATGCATATTTCCTGAAAAAAGGAAAACCCCTGATTGCTGCTTCAAGTTGGAACACGAACATTAAAGCTATATCTAGTATGTGGAGGTTGTAGCTGCAACAACTGAACAAGGTTTTCAGCCGTTGGGATACCAGGTTCGCTGCCGATGCATGAAATATCTTATTTGGGTCCATCTGTTGTAGGCTTCACCTAAACCCACTCTGGTTTTATATCTTTTATAGTCGCTCCTCTTCTGAGAAGGATAACGATATCTTCTGGGCTCAGAAGCAGCTGCTTAACTTGCGGAGTCCGCCATTTTCCACAGTGCCGGCCTCGCTGTGCCGAGCGGACTGTTTAGCTGCTCTGTTGGCTGGTAGATGTACACATAAACCCAGAGTCGTGCCCATTAGATAAATATTTGATTCTTTTTTTAGTTAAAATATAGCTTTTAAAGGAAATTCTGTACCTTCATTCTGCACACCTCTAAATGCCCAGTGGAGGAATTATTTAAAAAATATATAGATTTTTATAAAATTGTTACGTATTCAACCTTTTAGTCAAACTGATTGGTCAAGGTTAAAGCCCTTCGGATATAGTTTAAGTCAATATGAGGAAGCCGAGATGTTAAAACACCCATTAGCTTTAAACAAGCAATACCTTTTTACAGTGAAGAAAAGTTCCTCTCTTTTAAGATGATTTTGCTGAATGCTTGCTGTGCTTTAGAAACAACTAAAAATTATCATTTTTATTTCACATTTCTGCTTTCTTACAGGCACTTTATACTCAGTATCAGCAGTTTAAAGAACGCGAAATCCCACCCAAGGAAAACGAGAAAACAAAAATTAAAAATCTCTACAAAATGCTCGAGGTATTCACAACAGATGATTAAGTCATGTTTGGTCTCAAACCTTTTGAATGATGACAAGTGTGTTTGTATTCTGACAGATGTGGATTGAGTTTGGACGTATTCAGCTACCCCCGGGTCATCATCCGAACGATGTGGAGAAGGAATGGGGTAAATTAATTGTGTCAATGCTGGAAAGAGAGAAGAGCTTGCGGCCAGAAGTGGAAAGGTATGTGGAAGCACTTTTTTTGACCTGGTCCATCATGATTTATTAGAAGTCTAGTCTTTAAAGTCTTGGTAAAGGAATTTATGGTTTATTCGAAAGTCACTAGCTGGTCTTAACATGTTATAATGTGACTGAGGCCATATATATATATATATATATATATATATATATATATATATATATATATATATATATATATATATATATATATATATATATATATATATATATACACACACACACATATATATATATATATATATATGTGTGTGTGTGTATATATATATATATATATATATATATATATACACACACACACATATATATATATATATATATATATATATATATATATATTTGTGTGTGTATAAAAAGACTATCGTATAAACAGCGATACCGGAATCAGTGTGATGCACTCCTGGGTTGGTCTTGCTTGCTGAGTGCTCTCATATTGTATTACAAGCCTGTGAGTGAAACTAGACACCTCGGGTTTTGATGGATGTTCGGGTGGGACCTGCAGAAATTTTCCTCACTCTTTGCTCAGAGAGGAGATTCATATTCATGAATCGTTGTGCACAGATTCACTGTAGGGTTCAGAAGTACAAATGATAAAAGACAAGTTTTTATTTAATTTTGAATGATATAAAAAAAGAGCTGGGATGAGAATGATCTCTAAATCTGAGACCATGGAGTCAGAAAAGGGTAGAAGGCCTTCTCCAGCTCAGGGAGGAGGTCCTGCCTCAAGTGGAGGAGTTTAAGTATCTCGTGGTCTTGTTCACGAGTGAGGGAAAGATGGAGCGGGAGGTTGACAGGCGGATTGGTGCGGAGTGCTGTGATGCGGGTGTTGTACCGGTCTGTCGTGGTGAAGAGAGAGCTGAGTGGGAAGGTGAAGCTCTTGATTTACCGGTTGATCTACGTTCCTACCCTCACCTATGGTCAGGAGCTTTTGGTAGTGACCCAAAGGATGAGATTGTGAATACAAGAGGCTGAAATGAGGTTTCACCGTAGGGTGTCTGGGCTCTCCCTCAGAGATATGGCACACCTGTCCCTTCCAGCTCATCTGTCTGACCAGGGGTGTGGGCTATTGAGTACCGCAGCTCTAGATGATCTACTGCAGTGGACCTTCTCTTGTGATAGAAACATTGTTTTTCTGGAGCATGCAGGCGTGACCATTAATACTCCTCCATCTTTCTGTGGAGGAATGCAGTCAAGTCTGTTTGTGCAGCTTCACAACCTGAAAAGACTCGTTAATACAATAATAATTATTACTTCTGTTTACGTGTGCTAAACATAATCTCAAGTTTTAGAATCTTGCCCTATTGACTTTATATTAATAGTTATTCTTAACTTTGATCTTGTCAGTTTTTCAAAACTGTTGAAAATCAGATTTTTTTTTCTTGGCTTGTTGGAAAAAAAATAAGAATGAAATAAGAAAAACTAATTTTTCATTAAATTTTCTTCAAGTTGCCTCAGTAGTCTGCGTTTAAGGACGTTATGTTGATTTTTAGTCCAAAAATGTAAATAAAACATAATGCTCGAGCACATTTTGATTCATTATTGAGCGCTCACTCTTTTTAATCTTAATTTCTCATCTCAAACTTTCTTTCCTTCAGTGTGTTTCTTTAAAAAAATATCTTATTTCTATGGAGACACTGTTTGGTGCTCTGTTTACAGTAGTTGGGATAACTTTACACATTCTTTCTGGCTTCCAACAACATCTGCGTTGGGTGTGGTGACAGCTGACAGAAACAGAAATTCAGAATAATTTTTTCTTTGGCTGTCCTTTTTAATCCTCTTACTTTGTGTGGCGATGCTTTGTCTCAACCTGTTACTTGATTTTAATCCCCTAAGGAGGGAGTCGTATTTCAGGGTGGGATTTTTTCTCTTCGCCCTTCCTTCACCTGGCTGTGATGCTATAAATACGAGTGATTTTGGAAGTTGTTTCGTCACTTGATGCTTGAAGTCAGGCTGCAGAGACGGGAGAGTTATAGTCGATGACGATGTAAAGTAAGATGGCCTATTTGAGCAGGACCTCGACAGTTAGCAACAGTAGCTTTAACACCAGCTTCGGCTCCAGTGACAGCATCCTGAATGAGCCGTTACAAATTAACAGCTCCATTTTTCTCAATAATAACATCGCCTATGGATCCAGGTGAGGTCGGCTAGTAAAAACATAAAAAAACACCTTCAGTACATGTTTGATTGTATCTGTTTGTTTTAAATTAGGCTTGAGATGTTGCAGCAGATAGCCAACCGAGTCCAGCGGGACTGTGTGAACGGTGAAGACAAGCTGGCTTTGGCGAGAACGGCCCTCCAGTCGGTATGCTTTCAGCAAAGTCTGCTTTAATTAAAGCTGCAATAAAATGGCACTAACTGAGGTTCGAAATGAGTTTTGAATTTTTTTTATCTACAAGGATACAAAACGTCTGGAGTCTGGGATTCAGTTCATGAACGAGGCTGAGATTGCAGGCTATCTGTTGGAGTGTGAGAGCATCCTCAGGCAACAAGTCGTGGACATCCAAGTTCTGCTGGATGGGAAGTTCCCGTTTGCAGATCAACTTATTCAAAGGTAGGAATCCAGTCCTACAAAAATGAGAGCCTGAATTTTCCCTCGCATTAAGACATGTCCCACATCTTCTCACTAGGGTGTCTAAGCTTAGAGATGACCTTCTGGCCCTTCGAGCCGAGTGCTCGTCAGTCTACAGCAAAGGTCGCACCCTGACCACGGAGCAGACCAAAATGATGATCTCAGGCATCACACAGAGCCTGAACGCGGGCTTCCCTCAGAACATCAACTCAAGCCTGACACCAGGCATTAATCCTACACTCACCTCAGGGGGGCTGGGCACACCTGGGTCCACATTCACCTCTAGCCTTACACCGTGCCTGACACCATCCTTGACCCCATCCATCACCACAGCCCTGACTCCCAGTCTGCAGCCTGCTTCAGTCCAAAGCTACATGGGAAACGGCAGCAGCATGGAACCGGGTCGCCTCATGCATCTGAAGCACATGCAGATCCGAAAACCGTTGCAGAAGTCTTTGCTGGCTGACCCCAGCATGACAGAGGAGGAGGTTAACATGAAATATGTGCAGGATCTCCTGAACTGGGTGGAGGAGATGCAGGTAAGTCATCTTCATCTGTTTAATCACAACTACGGAAAACGATGAAGTCCTAAATAAATGGATTTGATTCATGTCTGTTTAAAGCTGCAGCTGGAGCGCTCCGAGTGGGGCACGGACCTACCGAGCGTGGAGATGCATTTAGACAACCACAAGGGTGTGCACAGAGCAATCGAAGAATTCCAGATGAGTCTTAAAGAAGCCAAACTGAGTGAGGTAAGCCTGCTTTTAGTTTTAGATTCATTTGATTTGAACTTTATTAGAGCGATTGCAATAATTCTGTTTTTGTCCAGATTCAGATGACCCTACCCCTTAAGCTGACCTATTCTGACAAAGTGAACAAACTAGAACGGCATTATGAGTGTCTGTTGGTACGTTGGTATTAAACCTAAAGATGCGTGGTTTTGTTTGTATTTGTCTGACTGTTTAAATGTCGGATTCTTCCAGAGCGGTTCGAGGGAGCGGCAAAGCCACCTAGAACACCTTCATGACTTTGTGTCGCAGGCAACTCAGGAGCTCATCTGGCTGAACGAAAAGGAGGAGGAGGAGGTTGCCTTCGACTGGAGCGACCGCAACTGCAGCATCTCCAAGAAAAGAGACTATCATGCAGTAAGGGTTGTTTGTTTTATTAGTTAACCATAATTTTATCTGTGGAATCTTCCATACACTCAAAAAAAAAAAGAAAGTCAAATGTGCTGCCCGGGCTGCACTTTAATCCATCGTATTAATATCCGTGAGAGGGTTTGTGCATGAATGGTGCCACGGCTGGATGGCAGAAACACTCCGCTTAATAATGTCTTTAATGTCTGCAGGACCTGATGAGGGAGCTGGATGAAAAGGAAGAAGCCATCAAGTTGGTGCAGGACAAGGCGGAGCGTCTCATGCTCAAGAACCACCCAGCTAGAATAACTATTGAAGTACGCCTTTTCTTTATTCACTTAACTTCACTTTTCTTTGATTTTCTATGGCTACTTTTAGCTTTTGAATCTGTTTTTTATTTATTTATTTTTGTTTCAGGCGTACAAAGCTGCAATGCAGACACAGTGGAGCTGGATTTTGCAGCTCTGCTCATGTGTGGAACAACATCTCAAGGAGAATGCCATCTATTTTGAGGTGCGATCTCATCTGAAGCTTTTACAGTACATACCACAAACTGGATTTATCTTTTCATGGTTAAAAATGTTGCATTTGTTCCCTTCGTGAGCAGTTTTTCAGTGATGCCAAAGGGTCCATGGACTACCTAAAGAGCCTTCAAGAGTCGATTCAAAGAAAGTACAGCTGCGATCGATCCAGCAGCCTTCACAGACTGGAAGATCTCATTCAGGAGTCCATGGTGAACCAACGCAACAATGTGAAGTGTGTGCATGTATGGATGTTGCAAATTTAAATAAACTATGTTTTTTGGTGTGTTCTCAGGATGAAAAAGAGCAGCTCCTTCAGTACCGCAGCACTGTAGCAGGGTTAGTAGGCAGAGCCAGAAACATTGTGCAGCTGAAACCCAGAAACCCTGAATCTCTTCTGAGGTCCTCCATTCCTGTTAAAGCAATCTGTGATTATCGTCAGATTGAGGTACCACTGCCATGCTGCGTTGTTCACGCTTCCTCTCTTTTAATCTGAAGGATTTTAGAGTAAATGTATATGAACCTCTCGCTGTTCTTCCAGATTACCATTTATAAGGATGATGAGTGTGTGCTGGCCAACAACTCTCACCGAGCCAAGTGGAAAGTCATAAACCCAGCAGGGAACGAGGCCATGGTGCCCTCCGTTTGCTTCACTGTGCCCCCGCCCAACAAAGACGCCGTTGACACGGCTTCTAGGTGAGAGGGTGACGGCGTAGGTGCCAGATCTGCTCTGGAACCTGCGGCTGCCGATTACGTCACACTACATGATTGGCTGGGTGTCGGTACATTCATGCAGATTTTGTTTGGTCCAAACAAATTGCGGAAGGTACATTGGCACATTGATGTTGAAGATTTTGATCTGTCTGGTCAAACTGACAATAGTGTGCAGAAAAATCAGGGTTAGCTCCTAGCGTTAGTCATCTGCTTACATACAGATGTCAAATACTGAGCATGTGCGTGCGTTTGCATACATACCTAGACCGATGCAGAGGTGGCTGCATTTCTTACAGACATCCCCTGGGGGTGCGGCGAGCTGCAGACTTGACTGCACTCAGGAACTATTTGATGATTTAACCCCCAATCAAATCCATTAATGCTGAGGGTCAAGCAGGGAGGCATTGGGTCCAATTTTTTTAAGGTATTTAGTGTCATCCAACTGTGGATTTAAACCCACGATCTCCCAGTCTCAGAGCGGACACTCATACCACTAGGCTGTTGAGCAGGTACCTTATATATATATATATATATATATATATATATATATATATATATATATATATATATATATATATATGAATAAACGGCATGACGTGAAAATAATAAAGCTCCGTTGACCAGCTGGAGATGCTCATTCACAAACAAGCGGCGTAGCTTCTAGCCATAATCACGAAAGTAGGGAGAAGGGCTTAAGTTGTAATACATTTTACCGCCTGTAGATGGTGTCTTCCAGATTTCTTCGTTCATTATATAAATGCATATAAAATTTATAATATATATAAATTGTTTCAGGTCCGTTTTGTTGGTAATTTGATGTGGAAGCCATGTAGTTTGTTCAACTGTCGTTGCCGTTGAGTGACATCTTCGGCAGTTCCCTGAGCTGATCTGGCACCCCGAGCACATCTGTTACCTGTACCAGGATCCCCCTCTATGTCTTCACCTTTGCTCTTAATAAAAGTTCTCCCCCTCCTCTAGAACGGAGCAGTTGTACCAGAATGTCCTGGCGCTGTGGCACCGCGCCCACGTCAACATGAAGAGCGTGGCGTCATGGCATTATCTCATGACTGACATCCGCGCCATCCGCAACTGGAACACGGCCTCGGTATGTCTACTTATTTCTCTAGAGGTTTATCAGTCACATAACTGATGATCACGTCTGATAACCGGGTGCACCGATGACCTGTTTCTGAGGAAATCTGAGAAGGTGTCTGTCTTCCACTTTTATTTTCACAACACCACCAGATAAAGACCATGTTGCCAGGGGAGCACCAGCAGGTCTTGAGCAACCTGCAGTCGCACTTTGATGAGTTTCTGGAGGACAGCAAAGAGTCTGAGCTGTTCACAGTGGCGGATTGTTCGCAGCTAGAGAGAGATGTGGTGGCCTGCAAGGAGTACTACCAGGAGTTACTCAGATCTGCCGAGAGAGGCAAGGCTTTAAACCCTTTCCTTATCCTTTGAGCACGACAGAAAACAACACATTGGAGCTTTCATTTGATTCTAATTGAACTCTGTATTCCTGAAACTGTATTAGTTCTGTCATTTTCCATATTTATACGTGACTTTACCAAAAACCTTTAGCTGTAAAACTTTCTTCATTGCATCAGCTTCCAGCACTTGTTGTGACTATGCTGCCCCCCAGTGGTGAACTTTTGACAAAATCCCATTTTTAAATCAAGTGCTGCGCATCAACTTCTAAAATGAAACAACTCTTTACATTATTTAATTTTAAATATAACAAAACATGTTTATCTTCTGTTTTGATGTTATTTTGCTTTTCCCTGTAAACAGAAGAACACGAAGAGTCCGTGTACAACCACTACATCTCAGAAATACGTAACTTCCGAATGCAGCTGGAGGCCCACGAGGAACACCTGATCAGGAAGATCCACACGCCACTGGAAAGAGATGACCTGGATCAGAGTCTGCAGTGCATCTCGGAGCACGAGGCACATATCTTGACTCTTTTTCAAGTTGTCTGATAATTCTTTATGTTTTTTAACCCTAATTGTCTGATTTCCACTTTGCAGAAGAAAACAGGCGAATTGGAGAGGCTGAAGGAAGACCTGGCCGTCCTGAAGGAGAAGTGTGAGCTGTTCCTCAGGCAGGCTGCAGGTTCTCCGTCTGTGTCGACGCTCTCCTCCGAACTTTCGGTCCTCCTTCAGAGCATGACCCAGGTGTACTCCATGTCCTCTATTTACATGGACAAGTAAGACACTACATTCATTGTCTCAAGCAGACCAGGAAGCCATTTGTTAAAGAAAAAAACAAGCACTGGAAGTGAAAAAATGTTCCTGTCTCGTCAGGCTAAAAACGGTGAGCCTGGTGGTGAAGCACAGTCAGAGCGCGGAGGCTCTTGTTAAAGCCTACGAGTCCAAACTGTACGAAGAAGAAGCCACAAACTCTAACGTCAGATCCATCGAAAGCGTCATTTCTACACTGAAGGTAACATGTTTTTAATCTTTTGGTGGAGCACTTGATTTAACATTTTTTTATTTCTGCAAGGGATCGTAATTTCATCAGTGCGATGATAGCTATGGGACTTCTGTTAACAGCAATGGCGGTCGGAGATAGATGAAAAACAGGAAGTGTTCCACGACATGGAGGATGAGCTGCAGAAAGCTGGTGTCATCAGCGACCGCATGTTCAAGGCCCACAATGAGCGAGACTTTGATCTGGACTGGCACAAGGAGAAGGCGGATCAGCTGAGTGAGCGATGGCAGAACATTCACTCACAGATTGACAGCAGGTTGGTGTGTTTTTTGTTCTCTGTAGGGTTTTTTCTGATGGTTTTCAGAGTCAAAGCGGTTCAGACGGTGTCTTTTCTGTTGATGACAGGTTACGGGACTTGGATGGTATCGGCAAATCTCTGAAACACTACAGAGACTGCTACAGCAGTCTGGATGAGTGGATCAAAGGACTGGAAGCAGAGCAGCTCAAGGCACAAGAAAACAAGCCTGATGACAGCAAAGCGCTCGCTGAGCTGTTAAACAAACAAAAGGTTAAACACACAAACCCAGGGGCATGTCTAGAAATGTATTTTTGGGGGGTTTGGCCAGGTAGGGGCAGTAATTTGGACAAGGGTAGCACATGTAAACGACTCATAACTTTGACAAAAAAGTATTTATTTTTTTTACAAAATTACAATGCATTCATCATAATCTAATTGGCTACTATAAACCAAAATAAAGTCAAAGCACAACACCATTCTATGACATTTTTCCCCAAACTGGGACTTTCTCTGATATTAAGTCAGGATTTTTTTAGAAAGGAGAGGAGGGGACACTTTGGATGAAGTAGATGTCATTTCCAGGCATTTTAGTGCTATTTAACTTTTCGTCAGATTGTAATAATTTAAATATTTTTAAACTAACAGAAATAAGTGAGCTTTCAAACTTAAAAAAATCTATGAAATAACATAAAAAACAAGAAATGAAATTTCTGTCCTGTTTGTTGTTTTGGCCCCCCTCTGGACTCGCCCCTGCATACACTCCCTCTAAATGGATCTAACTTGTGTGTGTGTTTAAATGTGCAGTAACGTACGTGTGTTTTCAGGTTCTTGTTGCTGAAATAGAACAAAAGCAGAGCAGGATTGATGAGTGTCAGAAGTATTCAGAGCAGTACTCATCCACCATCAAGGTAGATTATTTGAACACATAATTCAGTTCCTTAGCCTTTACTAAAGAAAAATGTGGAAATAATTCCAACATAATTTATGTATATGTAGGATTTTATTTCTGAATATTAGATTTGTTGTTTTTAAAGACATCAGGGCAATTATCAAAAGCAAAAAAAAAAAAAACGAAAACAAAAAAAAAACAATGTTATTCTTTTTTTTTTAAATAAATTGTAGGATTATGAACTTCAACTGATGATGTTCAGAGCGATGGTCGACTCCCAACACAAATCCCCCCTAAAGAAACGGAGGATTCAGAGCTCTTCTGACGCCATTCAACAAGAGGTCAGAGTTCAAATCTAGCTTTGCTTTAAAAAAAATCCTCCTTGGGCAGAACGTGCTGAGTGGCATTCTGTCGCCTACAGTTTATAGACCTCCGAACACGCTACACCACTCTCGTGACTCTGATGACCCAGTATGTGAAGTTTGCCAGTGAAACGCTGAAGAGGACTGAAGACGAGGAGGTAACTTTCAATCAGAATACTTAAAAATGAAATGTTCTTTTCTGTTTATGCATTTTTATTGGTTAGTGACGCTTTCAGTCTTTTATAGTCTCTTGCATGAATCTAACATTTGTATTCCTCCTGTACGTATTTGCATGCCTTTTAGGGTGCTGTTGCAGCAACGTTGACCTGCTTTACGGGTGAAGACCGTTTGCAGAACAGCTAAGCATGGCTGCATGTAGGGTCACATGTTACTGGTGGAAACTAATTATTCATTCTTTCACAAAACGACTTTTTCTGACTTGAACCTATTGAAGAAAAATCCCTCTGGAAGTTTGTAGTGGAGTTTTATTTTTGCACTTTTTATTTTGTAATGGTAAAAAAAATGACATTTTTTTATTTTACCATTTTGATTAGTTCCCAGTATTAGTGTTATTTTATTAAAATTGTTATGAAATTGCAAACTGTAGGAGAGATCTCTTTAAATTTCCCAGTGCAAATTTTTTTCTGTTTATATTCAAATGTGACTTGGCGGATGACTGATTGTGTTTGCATTATAGAACAGAAAGGCTTTTGAAAGGACAGAGGTTTCAAAATGGACAGAAAGCATGGAGGTCCAAAAAGCCAGAGGAGAAGTAGAGATTAGACAACTCAAACAACGGATCCAGGAGCAGGAAGCCTCACTTCTGGAAAAACGAGCACAGGTGGAAAAGATGGAAGGAGAATTAGAAACACAAAAGCAGACCATAGTTGATCTAAAAATTCACAATTCAAAGCTTGAGCACGACGTGAGTCAGTATCGTATGAAGTTGGAGATGGCGATTAAAGGTAAATCCGAGAGTGAGCTGGAATTAAGGCGCACCAAAATTTTTATTGAGCAGTCGGAGGGCACGTGGTCTCAGACGCAGAAGAAGCTGGAGGAGCTCTTAAAGAAGGAGAACGATGGCCGAGGTTTAAATGCACAAGAACCTGAACCCCCGGGAAAAACGAATGTGGAAGAAGCCGAGTTTGCAGTTGAAGAGGCTTCGCTTAGTCAAGCCCGATCTGAAAACAAGGAGCTAGTTCTGCAGTCTTTGGGGTTCGAGTCAGAACCAAGCAGTCGTTTCGAAACGCCTGCAGCTAGAGTGGAGGAAGTTCTGCAGCAGAAACTGGAAGAGTTAGTTCAGGTCCAGAAAAAAGCAGAAATGGCTGAAGAGAACGCTCAGAGCTATAAAAAACTTTTGGATGACAGCAACAACAGATTAAAGAAACTCCAGATGGACACGGAAAGTGAAAGGACCCACATGAGTCAGAAATCGGAGGAGCTTCGGCTGGAAACCCTGAACCTGAGGAAATCTATCACTGACCTTCAGGAAGATATCCGATCTCTCCAAAGGACTAAGTCCTCATTGGAGCAAAGCACCTTTTTCCAGAGCACTGAAATCGAAGGCCTCAGAGAGCAGTTGAAGATCACTCAAGGGGAGTTGCAGAAGAAAAGCTCCATTGAGCAGGAAAACACGTACAAGATCAACAACTTAGAGGAGGAGGTGTCATCCAAACAGGCAGTAATAGATCAGCTGAAGTTCAAATGCAACGAGCTGACGAGGATGAGCGTTTCCTCCGACGGTGACATTAGAGGTCTGCAGATCCAAACGGAGTCGCTGGAAAAGGAGAGATCACTTTCCGAGCAAAAGATCAAGTCTTTAAAGAGCAAGATCGAGAGCTGGAAACAGCAGCTCCATGCATCCAAGGAAGAAAGCATCACTATAAAGAGGTCAGAGCAGGCGCTGCAGCTGAAATGCAAAAACCTTGAGGCAGAGCTTCAAAAAAGCGAAATTGTTGCTTCTCAGCTTCAGAGAAAAATAGATGAGCTGAAACAAGCAAGTTTAGAGAAAGAGCAGAATCTGAAGAACACAAAAGCTAAGTTAGAACAGGTGTTGATGGAACTCGAGAGCAAAGATCAGCACATTAAGATCTTCAAGTCTCAGGTAGACGCCACAAAGTCACAGGTCAGAATTATTGAGGAGGAGCTGAATAAAAAGTCCCAAACCTCCTACGAGCTTCAGATGAAACTGCAAGAATATAGTGAGGAGGTGAGGAAAATGGCCGATCTGCAACAGAAGATTCAATCTCTCAATTCTAAAATCACCAGCTATGAGGAAGAAATAACATCTCTGAAGTCAGAGCTGAAGTCGATGTTTGCTGAGAAGAATTTAGTTAGTCAAAAGGTCCACATGCAAAAAGCTGAAATCAATGATCTGAATGAGATCCTGAAGAAAAAAACCGCTGAGCTGCAAAAGGAAGCTAATGAAAACCAGAAGCATCTCAGTAAAATTAAAACATTAGAAGACGAGCTCATCAAACATGAACACAGTTTTAAAGGAACCACCAGCAGCTCTGAGAAAACGATAGAAAATCTAAAGCAAGAAATAAAAATTCTTCAGAGCAACAAGACAACCACTGAAAGAAAATTAGAAAGCTTGAATGTCAGGATTTCTGAGATGAGCTCGTCTCTGCAAAGAGCTAAAGACGAATTGGCTCAAGAGATCAAAGAAAAGAAGTTAAAAGATTCCAAAATCACACTGCTTGAGACTGAGCTCCAAAGAAGCAGCCTAACGATGAAAGAGGCGATGTCCACTTCGGACAAATCCCGATCAAACCTTCAACATGAAAACACAATCCTTAAGAGGGAGAAATCTGAAGCAGTGGAGACAAACATCTCTTTAGGAACTGAAGTCAGATTGCTGAAAGACAAGCTGCAGCGTTCACAAACAGACGCTGAGCAAAAGCAAAAAGAAAGTGCCTCTCTTCAGCTGAGGTCCAAGCAGATGGAGGGACAACTGGAGAATTGTAAGAAGATGTTGGAGGAGCTGAAGAGTAAACTGGAGCTCCAGAAAGAAGGCTACGAGAGGCAGCTGTCTCTCATGCAGGCTGAAATGGAGAAAAAAGGGATTTTGGTCCAATCTGAGCTTACAAAAGAAATCCAGCAGTTACGCGGTGCAGATGTGACAAAAATGTTGAGCAAGAGTTTTAAGCAAGATGTGAAAGTGATAAAAACTGTGCATCAAACCTTAGTGGAGTCAAACCAACAAGCAGACCAGGAGCTGCAAATCAAAACAGAAAAACTGCAGCAAGAGTTATCCAAAGCCAAATCAGAAGTTGCCCAACTTGAGGAAGATAAACTCAAATTAACCTCAAAAATCAGCGCTCTGCAGAACCTTTGCAATCAGCAATCAAGTGACATTACAAAGTTTGAGAAGTCGCTGGAGGACAGCGAACGGAAACTGACACTGAAGGAAAATGAAGCGAGAGCCCTTCGAGAACAAATAGAGCTGTATGTCAGAGAGGTGAAAAGTCTTCAGGAAACGCTTTCAGCAGTAGATGTGGATGCAGCGAGGTCCAGTCATCAGTATGTGACAAACAGCAAGGCGGGTCTCTTGAATGCTGAAGATCAGATGGTGAAGAAGATGATTAAAGATGGAAAATGCAGCAAGGAAGAAGAGACTTTCAAAATAAAAGAGGTACACATGATACTACTACTGCATTACAAGGGTCTAATGTTATAGATCTGTTTGCACTGTTGTAGTTGTAGATGCACTGTAGTTTTTCTTACTTAAAGGATATTTTAATGTCCTCTCTACAGATGGCGACGTTTAAGGGAGGAAACCTTCTAAAGGAAGAGATCTCTTCCACCATTCAACCAAGAGATGTGAATTACAAAAGCAATGTCGTCTCTGATTTCTCCACTTCCATCACAGCACATGGATACATGGCTCTGTGTGGTCCAACAGACCAACAACCCAATGAAACTAACCTCAGTAAGACGAGAACGTATACGATTACGGAAATCCACGAAACCACAAACACATCCAAAAACAGCACCACAAATTTTGGCGGAAAGCTGGCAAGTTCCCCAAAAAGCTCAGAGTTTAACAGGAACGCAGACATTCAGTTCTTGGATGAAGGGGTTTTGAGAAAGGTGGAGATGGGCCTAATAACCACGGAGCAGCTACAGGCATTGCTTGCTCAGCACACTGGCAAACCGACTACAATCGCTGGAGTTTATGTGGAGTCGAGTAAGAAGAAAATATCCTTCCTGGAGGCGGCTGAGAAGGGGTTTTTAGCAAAGACATATGCCCTTGAGTTTCTTGAGGCTCAGGCTGCCACCGGGAGTCTTGTAGATCTGGTCACAGGAGAAGCACTCTCGGTTGCCGAGGCTTTGAAGAGAGGAATCATAGATATAAGTGTGAAAGACAAACTGGTGGAGGCAGAGAAAGCCAGTAGTGGCTACTTATCTAAGGGCAAAAAGCTATCTGTGTATCAGGCAATGGAGGAGAGGATTCTTGATCGATATAAAGCCAAGAAGATCCTTGAGGTTCAGGTTTCTACCGGAGGATTGATCAACCCAGAGACCGGTGTTAGAGTACCAACTCTCATTGCTTTAAGTCAGGGAATTTTGAGCAAAGAGCTTCTGCAGAGCCTGTACGATCCAGTGAGCAACCCAAAAGGTTTCCACAACCCCGACATGGGACAGAAGGCATATTATTGTGAAATACTAAAGACAAGCTTGTACGACGTTGACGGTGGAGTGTTTCTCATTCCGTTTGGCGAGCGACGCCTAACAAACACATCTCCTATGTCTCCCCATCGAGTGTCTGTTGTCAACAGCAGCTGTGGATCAGAAATGTCAGTGTACGAAGCGTTCAAGGGGAAGCACATTGACAAGAAGACATACCTGTTTCTGTCACAGCAGGAGAGCGAATGGCAAGAAAACTCGATCGTTGACCCCAGTGGAAGCCCGCGTCACATCATCACTGACGCCAGAAGTGGACGACAGCTTTGTCTTGAATCCGCCCTGAGTCAGAAGTTTCTTGAAATGTCTGAGTTTGAAAACTATCGCAGTGGTCTTCTCAGTATCTATGAGGTTGTGGATATTATCTTTTCAAGAAGGGTTGTTGTAGAAGACGTTAACAGCACGATCTCTGGTCTCTGGGACATCACTCAGAAGAAGAGGCTCTCAGTTTTTCAGGGCTTTAAGCAAGGGTTTACTGATAGAGTTACGGCCTTACAACTCCTAGAGTCCCAGGCCTGCACTGGGGGAATATGTGATCCCTCGTCAGGGGAGAAAGTTGCCCTTTCTGAGGCTCTCAAAAGAGGTCTCGTTGACGAGGCACTGGAACAGCAGCTCCAACAGTTTGAGCAGGCATTTAATGGCATTGCTCACCCCAAGACTGGGAAGATTTTGTCTGTTTTTGAAGCTGTTCAGGAAAATCTCCTCCCGAAGGATGCTGGCTTTCGCTGTGTGGAATTCCAGCTCTTGACCGGTGGACTGATCAACCCCAGTACCCGCGATAAAGTGTCGCTTGACGAAGTCATTCAAAGTGGCCTCGTCGACAAAGTTACAGCAACCATGCTGAAAGATGACAAGTTCCACACTAAAAGTCTCACATGTCCAAAAACCAAGAGAAGAGTCACATTCAAAGAGGCACTGGAAAGAAGTGTGTTCGACTGCCACACGGGTTTAAGATTATTGGAGGCCACAAAGGTTCACAGCTACGGGGCCAAAACAACATTTCATTATGTTTGGGCTTACAAATAGATGACTGTATGTATACAGTCATCTATATACATATATATATATATATATATATATATATTTAGTTTGATGCTCAAAGTTTTTTTCATGATTCATGTAAATTTTAACATTGTTTTTTAAGCATCCTCCAAGGTTTATATGCTCTTACTCTAAAGACTTACCTTAAAGATCAAGTTCACTGAGAAACTGTTTTTGTTACTTGTTATTTTTGAAATATCATTGGTCACTCTGGATTTAACGTGCCAGTTAACCCCATGTCCTGCATTATCCGTCAATAGAAAATAGACGGAGAAACACTCGGATTAGAAAATCCCATCTATTCCACATCACATGGAAAATTAGCATTCATGGACTCACCGATCTTGGCTCGTGACAGGAAAGGCTGTTGTAGTGCAGCCTGACTAGTAGAAGCTAACCGTTAGCATTAGCAACTCCACATCATGGCAGAACTCCTTCAAGCTTGTGTTTATGTGGCGATAAAACATCAAAGTTGCAGAGCAAACAGAGTCAGTGGTAAGGTCGCATTGCTGTTAGCCAGTCAGAGGCATTTCAGAATATCAACCGCCTTCTGCCCCCCCCCCCCCCGTTCGGACTCCCATGTACTTCCTGAAACAGACGTGCCTGAGCTTTTTTCCCACTGAGATTGATTCACAAAGCAATCATTCATACTAGAGACCACTGCAAATGTATTGAAAAAAATTAGTGAACTTGGTCTTTAAACAAAGCAAGTCGCTCCTTGTGTGTGTTTTGCATATTTTTAATGAAAAGTTCTGCTGTTGAGCACCTGCCTGTTGTGATTCTAGAGATCTGTTGATGAGGAGAAGCGAGAGCATGGCGATAAAGTTAGCAAACTGTTGCACTGGATGTCCGATGCTAAACGGACCATGAGCAATGATGGGCATGCTCTGAAAGATAGTAATGCCAACACAGATGCTTCAAATAAACAGCAGGTAATTAAAGTGTGGGCTTTGACTTGTACTGGGGATGATGCAACACAAGTCTCTGCTGTTGCACGATTTCTAATAAAACACCTTTAACCTTTCGACTGTTGTAATGACCTCACTTGGCCATGAAAGTTCACTAATGATATATGATTGTGTGATTAAATGTATTTAACAAGTCCTTAAAGTTGCACAAGCACTCGTCTTGAATGACCTCATCAGCCCCATGTGTGGGGCATGTGAAATGTTTATATTAGATTATTATTTTATTTAGAGAAAAAACAGTAAGGTTCGTTTTTGACACTCAAACGAGTCTGGTTGCTTTACAGCTGGAAAGGACATGGGAAAAACAAACACACCAATGAGAAAACACATTTTTATTTTCACGTTTGAAATAAATCTCAGTGGGTATTGTAGTGACAGCTGATATTACCTACATATTTTTACTGAGTTATAATTGGCCCAAAAGAAATAATTGAAAACAAATATGAGTTGTTTTCAAATGTGCTTTAACGTGAATGTTGGGCGACTTCATACAGTTTAACAAATGTATGAAATTAGAAAAGAGATTAAAGCATTAAAAAAGTAGAAACTAATTACACTTGTGCTATTGTAATTTATTTCAATTATATTACCATTCATAATAAATATACAAATACATACTATTTACCTTGTTTATTTTTTCCTATGTTAAAATATTTAAAAGAAAATTCTGAAAAAACAAAAATAATTTTTAAAAATGGTCTTTATTCCCCATAAAATATGCAGTGAAGACATATTAGATAATATACGTTTACTAATCAGTTTGTTTTACACAACACACATGAACTTGTTAAATTTGACAAAACTGAACATTTGGAGCTTTGACCTTTCTACTTTCTGCATGTCTGAGTTCATAAAATGAGTGTTTCTAATATTTAATCTCACTTTGTAGGCATTCTCATTTCTGACAATATTGTTCAACAAGTATAAAATTTTACATAAATTAAATACGTCTTTGCCATAATACAATATAAAATTTACAATAATCATATAACTTATTTAGAAAATGTACAGTTTTGAGCAGTTTTTTGTGTTAAATTTATTCTCTGATGCTCAAATTCAGCTAAAAATCTATTTCATTCAATCACACACGTTTGTGACAACTGCTGTCCCTGTTTTAACAGCATAACCAAAAAAAAAAAAAAGAGTAATTTTAAAGGCGAACTAACTTATTGTGCTTACAGGTGTTGGCTGAGGAGATGGTTTCTAAAAAGGAACAGATTGCAGAAGCGCTCATGGCTACTCAGATGATTCTGAACAAACACGGAGACAAGTAGGAGATCCTCTAAACTGCAAGTGAATTATTATTTCTGCTGTTAGAGCTGAAATATTTATTTATTTCTTTTGCAGGATGACAGAAGAGGACAGAGAACAGACCCAGGAGCAGCTGAAGGCTCTAAGCCAGGCTTACAGTGACCTCTCTCAGCAGTGTTCAGATCAGACAACCACTGCAGATGAGGTTGGACTCTGGTCCTTTTGTTTCATGTTCTTCTTGTAATTGTGTGTAAGGAAACAGCCCGCAGGTGTTCAGCTGCATGAACTCTTTCCTCTTTTCCTGAGGACAGTTTGTCTTGCATCTCCTGCAAGCCACGAGAGACACAAACTAAGTTTTGTTTAGTCAAAAACAGAAAACTCCAGTATGCTGTGAACATGCTTAACCACACCCTTATTGCACCAAAAGTTCACCATTACCAGTGTGACCAACCATTGTGACTAACGACACTTTTTGCAAGATGCAGGACGCCACATTACCAAACGCATGAAAGCTTTAAACGCGCGTGTCGCTCTCCAGTTGTAACCTTGCTGCAGTCTTGCTCGTCTGCACACTTTGTTTTAACATGCTTGTGCGGTGGTGAGTATAGATTTTACTCATGCATTCAAACAAATACACCCGTGCATTTAACCAAAAAGAAAAGAATACATATTTAAAAGTTAAAACCAGTTAAGTTTTGTGTTTTTATTTCTTTTTGCAGGTTTCTGAAATTGCTGACACGACTGGGGGCGGGCTCTACGGTTCTCCAGAAACCCTCATGAGCTCCGACCAGCTTAACTCCGATGACAGTTTCAGAGACAATCACACCCACACACACACAATGACCCCCATCCCAGATCACGAACCAGTCAAATGCCCCCACATCTCCTCTGTGTCCCTGTCTGATATAGCAGCAGCACTGGATGACTCCTCTTGTGAGGATCTGATCATGAAGATCATAGAAATGAACCCAGTCGGTGGAGGAGTAGACGTGTGCTACACAGGGGATGTGTTGAACCTGGAGAATGCCTTTCACCTTGCTTTGATTCCTGCTTCTGTCTATGTAAGGATTTTGCGGAGAGGAAGTTCCTGTCAGGATTTGATGCAGCTGAGCACGGCTGAAAGTTTGACACATTTTGAGCAGGAAGAGATGAAAACGAGTGATGTTAAAAGGACGGTATTGAATTGTCTCTGTGGAGATAAATCAGTGAAACTAGAGAGGGATATGAACTCACTGAGGTCTGTGTGTGATGATTTAGATGACCAGTCACTAGTGAGGAAAGGGAGGGACGATGAGCTGAGGGTGGATGCTTCTGTTCAGTGTGACCTGATGAGCTCCAGCAGCACACTCGTTGTTTTGGGACATCAGCGCCGGTTTATGGGACTCGTGTTGCCTCATTCTGGGGAAATCGGTCCCACCACCAGTGAGTTCTCCAGCAAACTTATCAAGAATCAAAGGAAAATAGCAGCTTTTTACATTCCAGAGAGTTCAGAGGTCATGGATATCACATCTGCTGTTGGGAAGGGTTTGATTGATTTCGACACAGCAGAGTTTTTGAAATCCTTAGAAATTCCTGATGTGCTTCCTGATGTCAGTCACCTCAACAAAAGGTTTTCTAATTGGTTCATGTGGAAAAAACTCAATGTGGAGGGAAGGCATCATCCTGCAGGTTTAAACCTCCCTTCTCCAGCAGAGGCGGAGCAGTTTTTCATCTCATACCTGATGATTAACAGCTACATCGATCTCAGATCAGGCCAGAGGCATTTGATACTTGACCGCCAGCTAAACGAGATGGTTCAAGTTTTTCTTAATGACTCGGCATTTTCTCAAAATGTCTCCCACTTCGCTTTTAAAACCAGCCGTCTGCCAGCACAGGTGGATGTTGAGGCACCGTTGCTCATAAATGAGGAAACTGACGGGGCATTAAGAAACACGGATTCTGATTTTTATTATTTTATTTCCAAGAGGATTACTCAGGAGGCAGACACAATTCGGGCGTTCGAGCCTTCAGACGGTGGAGAGACTATTCTTAATAAACATCATGTGATGAGTGACAAGGCTCTGGAACTAGATCCTGTCAAGGAACTCTCTGTAAGTGATGACATTGATCCGGGCACATCAGAACCAGTTCCAAACAACAGGAAATGGACTGAAATAGAGCAAAACAGCAGAAATAATTTAGAATTGGACGTTGGAGAAGATTATGATGTTCTGGTTTCCATCTCATCACCCCAGATCATTAAAGACAAAGCTACGATGGGCTCTACTCATCAGGCTCAACCACAATCAGATGGTGACATTTTTAATCATCCTCAGGATTTATCCTCTTTTACTTTAACAGAGGGTGAAATAGAAGGGGAGGATATTGAGGTCATGCAAGCGCACGCAGAGGACGATGTAGACGTTTCCTCTGGGTCATCTGAAACAGACTTAAGTGAGCAGAAAGTTTCAGGGCTGGATGGGTCGGGCAAAAGAACGAGTGTCTTAGGAGATGAGGAACATCAGAGCTTTCTGAGTCCCGATTTAGATTTGGGTTTCAGTGAACCTTTGCAGTTTGATTTAGTTGCAGTGGAACCATTTGACCCAAATTCCAGATCTACATTTTATCCAGAAGAAAGGTACGATCATGTTTTAAATCACATAAAGGAACAAAACACACGGCAGCCAAAGGAGGCGTCTGCGGCGCTCGGTTTACCCAATGAGGAGAATAATAGAGAGACAAGGAGTTCAGAGAAGCATGAAAATCTAAAAAAGATTAGTGATCATGCACTTCCTGCTGATGTTGGTCTCCAGCCATCAGTGATGTCAGCTTCCTGTTGGAGTCTAATTACTGCAGACTGTGATTCTCTCAAAGAGAAACAGCCTTTCCCAGCAGGCAGTGACTCACTGGTCATAACTGATGAGCAGCAGATGGGTGGAGCTAATGTGACGGAGAAAAGTGCTCCAACAATGGAGTCAGATTCATCTCTTCTGAGAGGCAGAACCTTCAGTACCGACTCAGAACAGCAGACTCAGCTTTTTGCTTCGAACAGCCAGTTTGGTGCTGGATTTAATTCCCAAGAGGGAAATCACGCAGCTGCTGAGAGTGAATTAGGCAAATCCACGTTGCACAACGATCCGTGTGTGGAAAGGGAGAGTGATGATGCTCACTCAGCTTTGGAAAGTGAGCAGAGTCGGAGTTACTCATCGGACAGGAGTTTGGTTGGAAATGAAGTCACGTCTAATGGTACTGATGGCATCGGACGTGCATCAAAGCAGCACTCTGGGATTAGTTCAGAATGTGTAGAGAACTGTCAGATTAAACCTTCGTGTGGAAATCCAGCACAACATCCTGACTCCTCCCCTTGTTTATCTGCGGTTTCTGTTGACACGAGTTTAACTAATACAGTCAGCCACAGCAGCAGTGACCGTAAAGATTCAGCTCTGGTTAATAAAGACTTGAGAGAACTAAACCTCACTGGTGAAAATGATGAGTCATGCGAGGAGAGGGTGGATGGTCAGATGGATACGAGAGGCAGTGAACAGATTTCTGAATCAAAAGAGGAGAGTTACAATGTTGATGGTGATCTACCCTCAGCATCATCGTATGCTGGCTTGGGACAGCCTGATGGTAAAACAGAAGATTTAGGATGTCACATTCAATCAGAGGAAGTTTCTGCCGTTTGCTTCTCAACTCAGTTTGAGATGGGTGTAAAAATGGCAGCTGAGGATGAAATTAACACAGGAAATGTGGATTTTATGGATTTTCAAATGCCACAAGCTCAAGAGGATGACTTTATTAATTCAGAGCTTGCTGAAAAAGGTCTTTTTCACCCAAGTGACACATCTCATGAACCCACTGATACGCAAAAGCATGCAGCATCCACTTCAAACAGCAATAACGAATCAGAACTCGCATCTCAGGATGGCAGTTACCATGACGACGCAGAACAATGTGATGCACCAGATATCCAGCTACAACTCCTGCAGCTTTTTAAGGCCGTTTCCACCAGCCACGACTTTTCAGTGCTGCAGGAAATGGTGGACAATCTGAGCTGTGCGCTGGGGGGTGACTCGCAGGAGAACCAGCGCCACACACTGGAGAGCATCAAGGAGGAGAGCTCTGAGGAGGAAGACACCGCTGATAAAACTCCCCAATCGTCGGCTCAGGAGTCTGAAAAATCAGACATCCTCAAAGCTGAAAAGGTCAACATTTTGATTTGCATTTGTGTTTTTCCTTCTTTGAAAACATTTCGTAGACCTAAAGTTTCACTTTCAATTTGTGTTTATTATTCCTTCAGCTCTTCTCCATCCATGATTACTTGGCATGTGTTGCAAGGCTGCAAGATCACGCAGATGTTTTAGAAGACGTTAAAAAGGACCTTTTAAAGTCGACGCCTACAGGTGACAACATGGAGGAACTGCAGATCAAGATGGAGGAATGCCAGGTTGGACCCGGACGGCTGGAGTCAATCACTTGTTGTCTAATCAGACTAGGATTTGTTTTTTACTGTGTTTTAATTTTCCTTCAGTCGCTATTGACTGAGCTTTCTAAGCTGGGTGGTGGTCTGGCAGCAGATCTGGAGAACGCCAGACAGCTCCTAAACTCTCCCAACGAGCATATCCCCACGCAAATCCACCAAGATTTGTCCTCAACGTACCTGCAACTAGAGCCCAACTTTAGCACCATCACTCAGATGTGTGCAGAAAGGAATAACTCCTTGATTCAGGCGATGGAAGCAGAGAAGGTCTGTGTTTTTGAATAAAAAATAAAGTTACTGCTTCGTAAATCCTTTAACGTGTTTACATTTTTTCAGGCTCACTTGGAATTATCATACCAGAACCACCTGAGCGATCTTCAGGAGCTGATGGTCCTCGTTCAGACTGAGTCAGAACTGTGGAATGTGGATTTGAACACCTGCGATGAGGACACGCTGAAACGTTTAAATCAGCAAAATGCGGTAAAGGCCTTTTGGCGATCTGCATGAATCAGATGGCTAAGATGAGGAAAATATTCTGTGAATTTCTTTCTTTTGTTCTTCAGGATGCTGAGAAGAATCTGTTGAACGAAGCGAGACCCAAATTAGACGACGTCACCTTTGATGCTCAGTGCTTCATTTCTGAGCACGCTCAGTTCCTGAGTCCATCACAGAGCAGCTACCTCCTCAAGTTCCTCACGTCTACTCAGAGAGCATTCAGGGAGCAGATAGACAGGCTTGTTGCACAGAGGAGTGTGTTGGATGTCCTGATGGAAACCAGAGAGAGAGAGAGACAGGAAGAGGTCTGCCTAATGGACGCAGCCTTTACGAACTCTGATGAACGAGTGCATGCTCGAGTGCTTCTCCTCTGCTGCAGACTAACCTTCACACCGGTTGTTTTCTGCAGGTCTTGAGACTGAGGAGACAACGTGCATCTATTCTTACTGAATTGTTTTTACACTACACAAACTCATTAACACGCTCAACAAAACGTCTTTTCACGCTTCCTTTTAAGGAAAGCGATAAACGGCATGTTTGCAGCATACTGAGTTTTACGATTTGATGAAGGGAAACCTCTAAAGCAGGTTTTGCATGTTTAGCCTTTGTTTCTTGTCAGCTTTTCTGTGACGATTTAATTGATGCAAATTCAACCAGTCACAGGTTTGAGAAGAGTTCACATGTTTTGTTTTTCTCAGTCCTTACTGGCAAGACACAAGGAGTTCACAGAAAAGCTGGAGGAAGTGTGCGATAATCTGACTCTGACAGAAAACCGACTGATTGGTCATCGGCAGCAGGTGGAAAATGCAGACCGCGTCGCCGATCTTCAGCAATACCAACAGGAGCATCAGGTTAGATATAGTTTTGTAAAGGGGGCATATTAACTAAAACTCACCTTTTGCATCTTTCTGTGCTGTCATGTGGGTCTCAACTAGCCTGGCAAGCCAGACTAAATAAATGTATTATTTAGTCTGGCCACGCTCCATTGACGGCTCTCGGTTGTGGGGCGGGTTCTACCGTTGTCTTTCAAATGATCTCCGCATGCTACTGGACAATGAATGTGACATACTCTTGTTTCACTCTGTTGCATCATCCCACCCACCAGGCATATAGAGTGCCCTGATTGGCCCACAAAGCGGATATAGCTCTGTGATTTGTTCACTAAGCAGATAGAGCACTAGGATTGGCCCACCATTATGGACCAATCACAGCTCTTTATGTGTTTGAAACCCCTCTAGAGAGTTGTGATTGGCTAGCCAGAGTCCTGGTAGGAGCTGCTGAGGTTCCAATGGAGCATGCCTAGACCATTCTTTGCAAAGCAAGAATTTGGTCTAGTTCACTAGGCTAGGTCTCAACTGTTAAACACTCTAAACATGAAAAGACCCCCCCCCCCCCCCACACACACACACACACACATGCAACAGAGAGCTGCTGCTGGAGGAGCAGTGCCTCTACTCTGACCCTGGCTTCACACTGGAGGCATCAGCAGCGCGGGACGGTGACTCGCAGGCTTTGCAGTGCTTCAGTCCACACTGGGAGAGTCTCAGCCATGGAGCAGGTCCTCCACCGTCCTCCTCGCTGGACTCTTGTGATCACAAAATCCCTCGAGACTTCAAAGGTCACAGTTTATACCATCTGCCATTAATCCAGAAAGAAGATGGAGATCACATTCGATATCCCTGTTTGATATTATGTATAACGTTGTTCCTATCTAGCCCTATGTTAACTGTGGAAATTGAAGCACCCCCCGATGTGACTTGTGGCAAAAATAGAAACCATCCCTATCGCGGTGAGCTGCTTCTGGGCCGTGCCTGAAAAGCAAACGGTTTGGATCAAACCTCAAACACTTTTATGGATTCTGTTTTAAGCAGCGATGCTTCGCTGCCGTTGCACGTCACTGATGCCTCCGGTGTAGATTTGGCTTGAGCCCCTCCCAAATATCAGAGCTTCTCAGCTTATAGCAGCGTGAGCGGCGAATGGGTGGGCCTGGTCAGGTCAAGCTTGTTTACTTAGAGTGACAGAGCCCTGAAATGGCTCAATCTGGGGGGTAATGAAAATGCCAAAAGTAAAACCGCTGAAATTACTTTGTGAGAGATTCTATGCAAAGAACTTCATGAACATATTTTTGGCTTTTGCTAAAACGTGTCAGACAGACAGACATTACCGACGTGTTTTAATATTGTCTGATCTGAAATCAGTGGTATATATATATATATATATATATATATATATATATGAAATCTATACAAATAAGCATTTAAAATTACAGTGCAGAAGGAGACAAAGGCCAGTCCACCAAAAACAATTTTAGAGATATAAAAGTATTATAACAATTTCATCACTTACAAAATCGTGACTCAAGAACTTTTATCAAATGAAATTCTTCTAAATTTCCACTGTAGAACACTGGCTTGCCAAAATAAGAAAGAAAATTGAAAAAAGTTGCAGCCCTAAAAGAGCTAATTAACCAAGGCAAGAGAGATATTTTGGAAGATGGAGGTCCATTGATTGTCGCGTTTCATGTGAGTGGATAGATGGCGGATTTATCAAAATAAACATTAAACTGTTTGTCCATCAGTTATTAACATTTTACAGACACGAATACAGACAGGCATGTTTACTTTATAGATTGTCAAAGTTTTTAGTCTCTGAAATAAATGTAGAGAAATACATTATTAAGAAATATTTCTGACGTTTTTAGTGTTTTATAATAATTCTTCATATTTATATTATGATCCCTAAACATATTTGGATACTGTTTTTGATCAATTCTGTTTGTTGTGTTTTTCTAAGCAGAGTGGCTGTATAAACCTCATGGTAGAAATTAGCAGAAAACCACATTGATGTTTTTTTATCGACAAGTATCACATCTGCCGGTTTGGCAGGCGTGGCTCAGAAATTGTTTTGTTTGTACCATAGAGCATATATTTAACTTTAAAAAAAGTCATAATATGTCCCCTTTCATTTATTCTGCATGAAAAATGAACGTGTCCATCAATAACACAAGCTGCATTAATGCCCGTGTGATCTGAAGGCTCTGCAGAAGGACGTGCTGTCTGATGCCAGCGCTTTGAAGGAGGTGATCAGCAATACTACAACGTTTCTGGAGGAGAACCGCAGCAAGCTGACACCAGAGCAAATTGTCATGGTTGAGAGAAAGTTGGAAGAGGCTAAAAGCAAAGCCAAGCTCATCAACCAGCGAGCAGAGGAGTCCAGAAAGGATTTGGAGAAGGTCGTCACAACAGCTATAAAACAGGAGAGCGAGAAGGTTCGTGTGGCTTTCATGTGTCTGCAGTGCAGTGGACTTGAAATCATGCTAATGTGTGGTCTGTTTGTGCAGGCTGCAGCTGTTGAACGGCTTGAAGACAGTAAGAACAAAATTGAAGGTCTTCTGGACTGGATATCCAACGTTGGGAATGAAAACATGAGCAGTCTGGATCAAACTGACCATAAAAGTAAAGAGAATGGAAACTTGCCAGAGGAAACTTTAGCTGGGGGGTTGATAGGGGAGGACGATGATGCCAATGGAAATGCTTTACAGAGCATGGAGAACGATTTTGGCAGGGACACCAAAGGGGAGAACGCTGCATCCCTGGACATCGATAAGCAGTACGACAGGGTCAAGGTACAGTTGCTCTGTCATTAGAAACGTTGCTGTTTATTCAAGTTCATCCAGTACATATGTCACACTTTTTTATAGGTGATTAAATGTTAAAGACACACTCCTGAACTTTTCAGATGTCTGTTCTCTGTCGCCTTCTGTCGGCTTGCTGCGTAATGTCACTGTCATAAAATCAAATCTCTCTCGTCGCGCATAAGAGGCTTGTTTGTCTGACCAAACACGATGATCCTGGTTTAAATATTTTATTACTAACCCATCCATTAGCAGCATGTCTAGGTCAGAGTCCGTAGTATAGGCCGTTCTTTCGAGAAGAGATCTCCAGCGAGGAAGAGCCGGCCCAATATTAACTCTGGTCTTTGCTCTTATTCTATTGCGTTCTCTTTTTCTATTCCTAGATTCCTCTGATAAGGGATTTCTAGCTTTCTTTGGTGGATCTGCCATTGCTCAAGTCACTAAACCGCGGGTCTATGTGATACTGCCGTAAAGCAACATGCAGTCTAGACACTATCACAGCTCCTAAATGAACATTTTAGACAATAGTATGTCACCAAAACTTAAAAAAAAATACAAACGTTATTTTAAGGTGTTAAAGTTGCAGAATGTGTCTTTAAAAGCATTAGAATGATGGAATAACAAGGGTAACGCGGGTCTCACATGCAGACGCCAACAGTATCAACATATATTAGTATCGATCAGACTTAGATGATGGCAAAACTTTGAGTAAACGGTCAAAGTAACTCTTGCTACTTTTATGGTTTTGCACAGGCTCGCCATCAGGAGATTCTGTCCCAACAGCAGGATCTGATCGCGGCCACCCAGTCAGCTCAGGCTCTGCTCGACACACAAGCCAACGTGCTGTCGCCAGAAGAGAAGGAGCGACTCCAGAAGAACATCCAGGAGCTGAAGGAGCGCTACGAGGCCTCGCTGACTCAGACTGAGCAGCAGATGAAGCAGGTGCAGTGCATCCAGGAGGAGCTGAAGACATTCCTGGATGACTGTCAGGACTTCGACGGCTGGTTGAAGCAGGCTGAAGGAGAAATGGAGGAGTTGAGCGCTCCTACAGCCTCCCTCAATATCCTGACTGAGAAACTTCAGCAGCAGATTGTCTTCTCAGAGGATGTCATTTCCCACAAAGGGGACCTTCGCTTTATTACCATGTCAGGGCAGAAAGTGCTGGATGTGGCTAAAGCTTGTGGGTTGGCTGACCATGCCGCTAAAAATCCTCTGATGCACGTGGATACTTCAGGGGCCTGTTCCAATGTCAAGGACAAGCTGGATTCAGCAACCGGCCGGTACAAAACACTCCATTCACAGGTATTTAAAGAGGAAGTTCACTGAGAAATGTATAATACTTGTTATTTTTTAAATATGATTGGGTTTCACATGTAGATTAAATGTGAAAATAGTCCTCTACTCCAATTTCCTGCATTGGCCGCCAAAATAAAATAGACGGGGAAATGTTCAGGTCAGCGAAAGCCACATAGGCTGTGTCTCAATTCAGGGTCTGCATCCTTCGAAGGACCCAGCCCACCCGGCCGACGTGGGCTGCGTCCTCCGTCGGCCGGGTAGACCGGATGTTAACGGCTGTGAATTTGGACAGGCCTAGCCTTCATGAACTCCCTCCGCGAACGTTCCGTCGCCTAGCAACCGTGGAACCGCTGGGCAGAAGGGAGAAGGAACTTCATACGATGGAGCTCGACGTTTTATTTAGCTTTTTAACCCCCAGAGACCCAAATTTAGAAAACAACTGCAAAATCTTTTTTTAACCTTTCACATGTTGTTCTAGGAGGCCAGATAAACGGGCCTATTTACACATTTTAACAGTCAGGTGTTGCAGAACTGAACAATAGGACCTATTAGCAATGTAAATGTGGTTTTAAAAAGAAAAAAAAATTGGGGAAGGTTTATTTTTGTAGACTTAAATCTGATGTTGTAATATTACAACCGTGGGTCTCTGGGGGTTAATCATTTCCTTGACTGTTGGAGAGCTAATTCAGAGAAAATACGTTAGAAAGCTGAGCCTGAGCAAAGATGTGATAATAGTTTTTAATACTTTCTAAGGGTCTTACTTTGACCAAAACCGATTTATCACCTTTTAAGACTTTTCAAGACCCAGCAGATACCCTCTAGTAAACAATTCTCATTTGTAAACAAAAATAAAATTCAAGAGTTTAATGCAGAACTGATTTTATTTAGATATTTCTTTTATATGTACATGTTTAATCTTCCTTAACCATTTTTTTCTAGCAAAGTAAAAAGCTGTCAAAATTCTCCCTTCTCTCCTGTGCCCTCTGCTGCTCTGCCTCCCTCTGCAGCCTCAATTCCTCCCAGATCAGCTCCAGAAGCTCATCGCTGGCACCTTCCCCTGGATGCCCATTTTCTCCAGAATAGTCTTAACAAACATGTAAGAAAAAAAAGTGATAGAGAAAAGAGGACAACGGGTTATTCCTTTCATGTTTTCGCAGAAAAAATAAACTCAAACGAGTTTTTAAAATATGAGATGTTATTGTACCTCCATGCCACAGCCGCCGAATACTTTGCTCCGGTGATCATGTGGTCCATCTCCGCCCTAAGCTTAATAAATTCCCTGGTTTTCTCTTTTGTTCCTAAAATACAAACTTCTATTAAAATCAGGGGGAAACGTAGTGGGAGAAGTACGACACCGAGCGCGGCCGAACATACGAGCCGAGACCGCAATACAAGCACTTTTACTGTAACATTTCTAACTAAAATAACGTTCATGTATCACAAAAAGTCCTTAACCTAACAGTTTTCAAGTTTATACTTACATTTATATGCGCAATCCTCTCCAACAGCTCCCGCTTCACTGTCCGCCATTGTTTTTAAGTTTTTCTGCTGGCCGGCCCGCAAGGCATCTTGGGAAATGCTACCTATTGAAGGATACACCGACCCATCCTTCATTCAGGCGAAAAGAAGGCCGCATTCGTCGACCGCATTTGAAGGAGTCTTCGAATTGGGACAGGCCTAGTCGCGGCGCAGTGACGTAACCGGCCGACGAATCCGGCCGACGTAGGATGCAGACCCTGAATTGAGACACAGCCATAGATCAATGTCACATCTTAAATTAGCCTTCGTGGAATCAACGATCTTTGCTCACTACAGGGAACGCTGTTGTTGGTTTGGCGTCCAGGAGAGAGCAGAGTGCGTCTCGGCTAGTAGAAGCTAACCATTTGTAGCTCCACAGTATAGCTGAGCTCCTTCAGGCTTGTGTTATTAGTGGAGATAAAACAACACAAGGTCTCCTAATATCGGGATTATTGAAGGGATACTTGGCAGATTAGCTGCTTTTAGCACCCCCTAGTGTCCGTTATTATTCTCTGTGGTTATACGAGAAATGAAAGTGATCTCGCTGTGAATTTGTCTTTTACCCCCTTAATCTAACATCTGAAACTTCTCCTCAGCTTTCATAAGTTTCTACAGGAGTGAGCCATCACTAAATCAAATAAATCAGCTGTGTTCACGATCTAAAACATGCTGGGAGCAGACTCCAGCTCCACCATGTCAACTCCACTCCACAGCTACCTCCACCAGCAGGGAGCAGGCCCCCAACTCTGAAGTTGCAAGTGCGGGTATTATGGCCGCAGGGGGGGGCAGTGGGGTCTGAGCAACTTTTCATTAACCCTGTAAAGGGTCATTTAAGCACATACTGGCCATAAAAATAATTAAAAAATATGAAAAAGTTGCTGACTAAGACTCCAAATCCTGCAGTTTTCTGCCCCATTCCTCTGACTAACATCCACTCCTGAAACAGGAGCGCCAGAGCTTTTGTTCCACAGAGAACGACTCATTCATACTAGAGACCACAGCAAAATAATTGAATTAATTAGTGTATACCCACTCTATCATCCCAAATGGTCGCAGTTGCTAAATGCCTCCACCAGGTGGTAGCACTAGCTCATTAATGTGTCTCAATTTGTCAATGACATGTTTACTTAAATGCCTTCTGGATGCCATTTTTTAAACTGATCTACTTTTTTCTTTTAGTGCAACCAGCTTGGCCACAACCTCAGAGGGTTGGTTGACAGATACAAAGCATACGACGATTCGAGCGCTGGTCTAATGAAGTGGCTCAACGTCTCAGAGGAGGAGGCGAGAAAGCAGCAATCAGAGGCCATCGCAGCCGACCCACAGATACTGCAGAAACAGCTGGAAGACACCAAGGCAAGAAACAAGATTGGTTTTTAAAGTCTGAAAACATGGACCTATCAAGTTTTAGATGGTCATCATTAGATTTTCTTTTCTAAAACGCTTTATTGTGTCCGTAACACGTATAGAACTTAAACCACTAATCGGGCCATAACCCGGTCTTACCATATATGGTGTGTCCACTCACTAAAGCACAACAAAGTTATTTCTGGTTCTGGCCCACATGTAAATAGTTGAACTCTGGTTATTTGTAGCTCACAGTTTCTACAAAAGGAAACAAGAGCTGTCTGATTTAATTGCCCGTGTCAGAGATTTTGGCTGCAGTTACCTTGAGCATTTCTTTGTAGAGAGATCTTGATTTACAGAATAGCTTTTGCACAGAAAAGAGACATCTGTGGGCCAGCCAAGGAGCATGGTGCTTCGGAGCTTGAATTAAAGATCTGCTCTGAATGTCTTTGTGCAAATGGAGAAAAGTGCATGAGTAATAACTCAAAGAAAGAAATGATCACTTATTCTGATGTGCAGGTTTTACAGGGTCAGATGATGGGTCACCAGACTTCTCTTGACACGTTACGTAAAACAGCTGAGTTGCTGATAACTTCTGAAGGAAACCTTCTGAGCAATCCAGAGGAGATCCAAGAGACTGTGGGTGAGAAAAAAAAAAGGTCTGATGTATGCTTGGTTCTGTTCAGACTGCAACTCAGGAGCAGATTCTTTGTACTATGATGCCCAAAAAAAGTCAATACCTCAATTTTGAATTGTTTAATTAGCAAGCTAACTAGGGCTGCAGCTGTCGAATATTTTTGTAATCGAGTACTCTATCGAATCTTTTATCGATTAATCGAGTACTCTAATAAATTACTCTTTAGCGTTTTTAAACCATTATATCAAATAGCATGTTATAAAATATGAAAGACCTCTTGAAATGAGAAAGCAATTGCCAGTTATTGTTCAAGTTTTATTCAAAATTAGTTTTCAAAACTTCAGCACTTCAACTTTACTTTACAGTAAACAAATGCGAGCGGCTGCGGCCCAAACAGCACCAGAACCGCTCACGGCGCATGCGCAAACATGGCTCGCCAGCTGTTTCCCTATTAACACACGTTCGTTTTAATTTCTACACCTTTTTTTTGTCTCACACTAACAAGGATTGTCGAAATCATGTTTGCCGTGGTTACGTCAAATTATACTGATCACAAAACATTTGTTTACTTTCTTTCGTTTTCCTCCGCCACTCAAATACCTGTGTCCTCCTGCAGCAATCCTGAGGGACAACGGACATCAATAACAACACAGTAAAAAGTCTGACGTGTTGTAAAAACTGCTATTTTTAGCATATTTTAAGTCCGACGTGTTGCTACCAGACGTACAGTGTGAGCTGAAACTGAGCGCTACAAACAAAAAAGTCGCACAGTGTCTGCAGAACATATAGAAATTCAGGCTAAAATGCATTATCTTGTAGAGGCTCCGAGTCCGCTTGCAGAAGTGACATTTACATGTGGATGTTTCCTGGTCAGGTGCTGTAGCTTGGAGGATGTGGTGTTGTGGTAGGCTAAATCCATTTTACAGTATTTACACTGGACTATGTTTTCCGCCTTACGACGTGAAAAATGGTCCCACACCTTTGACATTTTGTGTCTTTTTCGCACTCCACCGGGGTCCACGTTGTCCGCCATGTCTTAAAAGAAAGTTAAGTTGTGTTCGCTACTCGCATGTGCATTCAGTGCATTGTGTATGTGCGTCACTTATTTCGGTCCGGGTGAAACACGGGCGATTGCAAAGCCACGAATTAATTAAACATGAATTAAACGAAGCTTTGAGGCAGAGAATTTGACTCGAGGATTTTTTGTACTCGAATTATTCGAGGTACTCGAGGAATCGTTTCAGCCCTAAAGCTAGCCCATGGAACAAAACACATTAAAGTCATGTGACCTGGATTATAAAACTTAGCTTACATCGAAAACGTCTGAATTCAAACTTAACATCAGCTACTCTTAGATTCCTTTTGTTGCAGATGGTGACTCAGTTTTGTCTCCATTACAGATGACATCGTGGAACGTTACGACAACCTCTCCAAGTCTGTGAGTGACCGAAATGAGAAACTGCAAATCACCCTGACCCGCTCCATGAGTGTCCAGGATGGTCTGGATGAGATGATGGGATGGATGGAGAGAGTGGAGACCAGTGTGAACCAGAAAGGGCTAATCCCTCTGGACTCTGCATCTATTGGAGATATGCTCAGTAAAGAAGCAGTATGTATTTGTTTTATCACATCTAATGTCAAATAGCCTTGTTTAGTACTTCATATTCAGCACCAGCTCTGTCATCTCTTTAACTGTGTGATAAAACCTCTTTTAGGTTTTGGAGCAGGACATGGCGAGTCGCCAGAGTAGCATCTCAGCCATAAAAGCTAAAGTGAAGAAGTTTGCAGAGACGGCAGATCCCTCCTCAGCCGAGCTTCTGCAGTCAAAGATGGATGCTCTCTCACAGCGCTTCGCTGATACTTGCGATAAACACAAGCAAAAAGTTTCCCAACTGGAGCGAGTGAAAGAAAAGGTTGAACAGTTTGAGAACGTTGCTGACAAAGTCCAGCAGTTTGTCATGAAGCGCTCACAAGAGCTGCAGGAAACAGATGGACCCGGGAAAACTTTCAATGAAATGTCCCTGCTAATGCAGGTCAGAATAATACCCAGACCTTCACTTGTGTCATGTTTACGAGATTGTACCACTGTAACCAAGGTGTGTTTTCATTTTAATTAAGAACACTAAAACAGAGATGGCTGAATATGTTGGTGACGTTGAGAAGCTGCAGACTCTGTCAAAAGAACTTTCTAAAATAAGCCTAGATGGAAACAAAGCCCAACTTCAGAGCAAGATGGACAAGATCTCAAACATCTTCAACACCTTTAAAGACACAGTTAAAGAACAGTAAGTCTGTAAAAAGAAGGTTTGCTCAAAAACCTGATGGATGCATGTGTGGTGTGGCTGATTTTGATGTTTTTCATAGGGAAGAAGAGCTATCAACCTGTCAAGACCAGCTGGGAGAATTCAGATCTGCAGTCTGTGCTCTCACAAAGTGGCTGGAACAGACAAATGACAAAGTACCTGCAGCTCAGCCAAGCAGCAGTGAGAACGATCTGGAAAAGGACCTGCAGATTGTCACTGTGAGTCATCTTAAGTAGCAAATTGGTGTTATTCCTCCAGAACTTATAATTTATCCTAATGCATTTAAAATACAGGGATAGAAGTCCATGATTAGACGTTACTTTACTTCTGATACAAAGTTTGTGTGTTGCAACTTAAGTGTGTTTTAACAGGTACTAGTCTTATCCTCCCTAAACAAGTCTCCATTCCAACCTGCTTTTTCTTCCAGTTAGCGGCAGATGAATGATGATTGTTTATGCTGAGCAAATGTAGGAGTGAGACGCTACGTCAGGCAGAAAGACTAATGTTATCACATTAACAGGACTGCAGAATTTAAAACCGCATTTACCTTGTTGTTGTTGAATAAAGACCGCCTGGGTTGTATGTAGCATACCAAAATGTCTGTGCTGTCTTGGACCTGCTTTTCTATGCCATGGAGAAATGTTTGATTCTGAAAAAAGCTGGTTTAACACATCATAGGCAAGACACACGTGCTTACATCTGCATGTCCCATCCCACTTCAACATCAGCTAAATATAAACACTGATCGTGCTTACCGCAGTATAATGCCACGCCAAGCTACTGCTAACACTAGACCCAGATACTCTTACTGCTATACTAAACCTCTGCTAACTCAAGCCCGAGCTACAGCTAGTGCCAGGCCAAACTACTGCTAATGCTAGGCAGAGCTACAGGCAATGTAAGGCAAAGCTACTGCTAATGCTATGCAGACTTACTGCTAATGCTAGACCAAACTTGTGCCAACTCAAGCCTGAGCTGCTGCTAATGCTAGGCCAAACTACTGCCAATGCTAGGCAGAGCTACTGCTAATGCTAGGTCAAATTTCTGCTAATGCTAGGCAGAGCTACTGCTAATGCTAGGCAGCACTACTGCTGATGATAGCCTGAGCTGCTAACGTCCTGGTTGGACAAGAGGAAAACAGCATAGAAGTTGGCGCACTCACAATCCTGGATGTTCTTGGAAAATCCAGACTTTGAATCTATGCTAGATTGATCCAAAGCTTGTGATCCTTGTCCCTGTATCCCTCACTCACCCACACTGTCCACACCACACTGCTAATTCAATTCAAATCAATTCAAATTCAAAGATACTTCATTAATCCCAGAGGGAAATTAGAGTTTCTGTACACACAATTCTGAGATCAGACATACATACATAGGCAAAGACACATGACAAGAATTGGTGACTGTGGTCATTCGCAACCCAAGTCGCGCCACCTTAATAGAGATCAAAGGGTTTACATGAGGATTGGGTCAGGTGGAGGAAAAAAGGCACTTCCGAGTTACCCTCCACAGGCAGGGCAGCTTTGCTATGCAAAAAACACCTCAGACAGAAATGCAACAGACTTCAGACATTACACAACATCATGTGTCCACTAGGTGGGGAGGTAGGGTTGGGGACTATCCTCACATCAGTGCATGCAGCTGCGATAAGCAGCGCTCGTCACCTCCGTTTGGACAGGGGGAGGATGTATTTGGGTTAGAGAGCACAGTGACTCCTGGAAACAATTCAACGGCCTTCACCGGTCACAGTCCCGCCCAGGCAGGGATGGGGAGACAGAGTTACCATGGCAACTGCAGCATTCCACATTTCTTCTGAGGGGGAGCAATCTCTTCAGCCTCAAAGACTCAAGGGCACCAGATTCAGAGAAGAACTTGTTTTGGGGCCAGACAGAGAATTTCCTCTCTGTCTTAAAGTTCTGTTGATCTCCAACCCCTCTGAATCCAATAATGGTGTAATTAATCTATCCCAATCCGTGCTGATCCGTCAACTCTATCCTTGATGGCATCAACCTTCTGTGCCAGAGTCTGAATCTCAGCCAAAGTTCCAAGCTTACGACTCATCTCGACAATCATATGAGTTTGTGCGTTCACATCGCGGTGTAATCCATCCCTGAGCTCCGGGATTGAGCCAATATTCCTCGACAGCTCATTAATTTTCCGGTAAGCCAGGTAACCGCTCAGGCCAAACACCACAAAACCTGACACCAACACCATGAATATCCAGACGTCTTCAGAATCCTCTACAGACAGTTGAGAGAGGCAGATCAGGTTCCACTGTTTCCAGGAGTCCATGATATGCCCAGCTGGCTCTGTCCCAGAGGGGCAACGGAGAGCCCCTTCTCCCGTTCACATCTTTGAAAAAGTTTTGTCAATTGCGTTGAGAGACCAACTGACCAGGTCCATTTTAATAATTTCTAGTTTCTAGAAAAAATGCAGAAGCACCGTACACCCAAAGACAGACAAAGAGCCTTGGGATAAAATAGGGAGGAGAGGAAGAAAAAAGCATCTGAACTCTCCAAGAGCCGGAAGAAGAATAACAACATGCAGCTCATTTAATAATCATATCCTTGCAAAGTGGGTGGGAAAACTAGTCCTTTCATTGCAGGCCTGATTTATGGGGATGTGTTTGGCCATTTGTTTAAGCTCCTGGGCCATTGTGAGCCCCAACAATGTTTCGTATACTACAAAGATGCTCAATTTCCAATTATAAACAGTATTCTACCTTTATACCTCAAGTACCAATACTTAGAATTCCACATATCTTTCATCCCTTGACTTATATCTGATTTTTATGTTTTATTCAGGTACTAATGGATGAATGGACATCCAAAGGCCCTGCTGTCCAGGACTTGAACAGTAAAGGGTCTGCACTGTGCAGCCTGATCACTTCGTTCACATCTCCTGCCAAGGCTCCTAACAAGTCAGGTAAACAACAGCAGACTCTGTCTTGTGTGTTGGAGTGACTCAGTCTAAGTAAGAAGCAAGGTGTTTTGGCTTTCCTGGATTTTCACCAACAATGACAGATTGTGGGGAAGATCTTGTGCTAACAAACTTCATCTGTGCTCTGCTTTTGACTCTTTGTCTTGTGTCTTTGCATCAGCTATTACTAACGGTGGTGGTCCAACAGCTCATACCTACCTAACCAATAAAGGTAACTAAGTGCGGAGGTAGATGCATTTTAAAAACATGTAGCAGCAAACGCCTTTTAAAAAGTACCAGAATGTTACTGGTTCTCTCATATAGTAACCTGGGGCTGATATATGAGCAGTGTGTCATTATGGGATTTACAAACAATTTATAAAGAAGTTAATAAATTTATTTTTGTCGCCCTCAGAGCTGATGGGAATCCAGCAGAACATGTCGTTTGTCAGCGAGGGATACACCGACCTCGGCGAAACACTCAAGGGTCAAAAAGAGCAGCTGAGTGTTTTATTACAGAAGGTCAAAGAAGCCCAAATAGAGATGAGGGACATGATGACGTGGCTGAAAGACATGAACAAGACAGCAGGGTCCTGGAACAGTGCAGCTACAGAGAAAGATTCAGTGAAAACACAGCTTGAACAGCAGAAGGTGAGAATAATTTGTGCACACGAATGCATACAGTTCTTGTGCACTAAATATGTTTATTATATAATCTTCATTTACATTTTCTTTTTACATTACTTTCAGGTATTTGAAAATGAGATGAAGACTAAACAACAGGAGCTTCAGAAGCTGAGAGAGAAACTCCAGGGCCTGATTTCTGACTATCCAAATTCCCCTGAGGCAGCAACATGGAAGAAGATGCTTTCAGAAATAGGTATGCATTAAGGTTTAGACCACCAGGTAGCACCGGGTAATTTATGTCATTGACACTGATGAAGCCCGTAGACCAATGCAGTATATTCCTGGTTTTTAAGGAATTCTAACCTGTAAATCTGAAAACTTCCTTGGCAATGGGGAGCATCTGAAGGGCCTTTTCAACAGCAATACAGCCGTTAAAGGTCCAATAAGTAAGAATTTTATGGTGAAATAATCACAAAACAGTCTAATGTGTCAAGTAAGTTGGAAGGAAGGTTACATTGAGACAGATATCCTTCTTATCTTACTAGGGGGTTGGCAGTTTTTCTCCTTTCAAAAAGGCCAAAGAGGGACGTAGACATTGTTTACATTTTAATATTTCCCGCCTCCATAGTTCCTGGTTCCGAAGACAATATCTGAATCTGCAAAGTTGTGAAGTCTAATACAAACATTGTTGCCCTCATTTGTAATTCGACACCGACCGACAAAGAGCAGCGGCATTGCGGAAAGAATGGAAGCCATTAAATAGGAGCGACCCAGAAGTTATTTCTTGTACCCCTAAGAAGCCATGACATTTTTTTGGTGTACTCTAACAATGGGTAGAGGCTAACATTGAGCTAATAAAGCTAACAGTGAATTAGAACAATAGATCTCATTGACAACTCAATGTTGTAGTCAAATATATCTATCTATTGATCAACTTACTGTGCGTGAATCGCCTTCGGTTGTCATCCTGAATTTTCTGGCGCTGATCCGTAACTGGCAACTGACTCTTTTGTTTTGATACTTGGACTGCAGTACCCAATATTCACCACAAGTTGTCATTCTTAATTCATGCACCTTTTAAATGAAGGATCACAGCAAAGACATTTAAGGGTAAGTCACATCCTGGGGAAACTTGCTTCACCCAAACTTCCTTTTAGAAAATTGGTCTAAAGGAGGCGTCACCTGAAAGACTGAGAGAGCGGCACCGAGGCAGATTGACAACTCCCCCCCCAAACCCCCATTAGGTCAGAGTTTCTCAGTCAGAAAAGCGAGACGTAAGCAAACATACACACTCACACATGCATGCAAGCACACACACACACACACACACACACACACACACACACACACACACACACACACACACACACACACACACACACACACACAGCAGACTCACCTCACAGTAGAACGGGCAAACAGAGATGCTGCAGCAGGATGGAGGGTTTTCCACCTTGATCACTAGAAGAAAGGGAAGAGGACATTTTTTTAAGGAGGCGAGCAGCTCTGAGCCGCATCGTTTTATATTGCCTTGCGAGTGGCCATCAGTTGATTTAGGTGTTACTCACTCTTTAAGCCATACTATGCAACTGTTTCAGGTTTTTAAGGACTTTTCTTGAGCCAGTATGTGCTAAAACGACCCTTTATAGGGTTAATGAAAAGCCACTCAGACCCCCACCGCCCTCTGTGGCCAGAAAATGGCATTTGCAATTTCAGACTAGCAGCCGCTCTGTTGGGACTTAAAAAGAATGCAGCTGACATACCTGTCACTCCAGTCTGCTTCCAGCACATTTCCTGCATGTTTTAGATCAGGGATTCCCAAAGTGTGGTGCGCGCACCCCCAGGGGTGCGCGAGCTGCCGCTAGGGGGTGCGCGAGGTGAAAAGTGTAATGGCTGTGGAGCTCAGAGAAGTCTGTCATATGTCACCATTAGCGTAGAAACTCATTTGTTGGTGGGCCAAAGAAAAAGTAAGTGGGCACAATAAATGTAATTGTAAACAAGTATATTTTTGCGCGCGCGTGTGTCCTCCACATATGCCATAGCTTCATAATAACAATGCGCCGAGCTTCAGCACTCTGGCCTGCACATGCCGATATGTTCCGTATTTGATCATTTTTAACGGTGTTGGAGAAATCTGAAGGTGGTGAGTCATTCTGGCAGATTGTAATTAACACCTGTCTCATGCAGGTGTTCTGACATTGTAAACCTCACACACAGAACATTGTGGATGTAACAAAATAACAAGAAATGATTCCCATTCAGGCTATTAACAGCGCGCTGAAGATCTGAAGTTCAGAGTGCATCTGTCAAGAGATGCGGTGACTTGAGCGGCTGTGCCGCGCGCGCGCACACACAGATTCAATAAGCGCGCACGCTGCTTTAACTCCGGCGCGCCGTCAGACTGAAGGCAGAAATGAATTCTGCCTCCACCACGATAAAAACTTTTAAGAGGTTATTTTTCATTCAAGGTCAAATTAAGATATTAGCTTCTGGGATGAGTCGGGTCCGCTCCAGCCAGTGACTCCTCATGAACCTGACCACATCTCATGTTACTGCAGCATTTGTTATTCCAGTCAGCGTGGCAGCGGATCGCAGATTCAGCCACACCATTAAACAGCAATAAGTCGGTCTGAGGTAAAAGTAAACATCATGGCTATATCTTGTCCCCTATTGACATTTGATTACGCACAAGTAGGTGATCAGCTCAGGTTTAAGCAGAGCAGAAGGAAGGAGAGCGCTCTGGCCGCACAGGTTAAACGTTCCTACTTCAAGAAAACCGTTAAATTGCATTGTTTATGTGCTACCTGGGCACTCTAAATATTTATTTAAAATGAAATCAAAGGAAATTGTAATGTATCGAATGTTTATTAATTACTATTTAAAAAATGAAAGTGATGGGGAATTTTTTTAACCCTGTCTGTTTAGCTTGACATCTGATATATATATATATATATATATATATATATATATATATATATATATATATATATAGCCATGCCCCGATGTGTGTGTGTGTGTGTGTGTGTGTGTGGGGGGGGGGGGGTGCGTCGACATGGTCGGGACATAGAAGGGGGTGCACGGCTAAATAAGTTTGGGAACCACTGTTTTAGATCATGAACACAGGTGATTTGTTTAATGTAGTGATGAATTACTCCTGTAGACACTAAGGAAGGCTGGGAGATATTTCAGTTGTTAGATTAGGTGTTAAAAAGACGAATGCACAGCAAGGAGATAAGTTTTGCTTTTGGGTTGACTACAGAGAATTAATTATGTACACTAGGGAGTGCTAAAAGCAAGCAAAACTGCAAAGTGGGCCTGTAAACATAGTAAATCACAAGGATCATGAATGGACACCATTGTTTTTGATTAACGATATATTTGAGTGAAGCATCTCTGACCCATGCTTGGTTTTTCCTGATCTATATCATATTGTATAAAATCACATAATGTAAATGAATACTAAAAGAATGTGAATCTGTCTCAGTACTTGCCCTGTGTTACACAAACGAACCAAATTAACACATTTCTGTTGCCAAGTCCTGCACAGTGGGAGAAGATCAGTGTGGCAGAGGGCAGAAAGGTGTCTTTGTGCTGACTAAAACAGACTGCTGAGGGTGCTCTCTCTTCCTGTCCAGATGCTGCTTGGGAGGAAGTGAGTGGCTCTGTAAAGGAGAGGAAGCAGCACCTGGAACAGTCCAACAAAAATCTGGACATCTTCCAATCAACAGAGCTGCAGCTTGACCAATGGCTTTCTGAGAAAGAGCTGATGATGAGTGTCCTTGGTCCACTCTCCATAGACCCTAACATGTTAAAGATGCAGAAGCAACAAGTTCAGGTTAGCAATGGCTCACATTGCTGGTAATAACTTGGCTCTTGTACATCCTGAATTACTGATATTTTCTTTTCTATGGACTCCAGATCCTCCAGAATGAGTTCAAGAGTCGTAAACCTCAGTATGAGCAGCTTGACGAAGCGGCCTCTGCCATCTTGAGCTCATCAGGCAAGCAGGAGCCTTCAAGTGGGAAGCTGGTGAGGGAGAAGCTTGCCGCAGTCACCCAAAAGTGGACAGGCCTCACTGGGCAGCTGGGCCAGCGAGACAGCCTCATCGACCAAGCAGTGGTGAAGACTGGCCAGTTTCAGGAGTTGTTGAAGAGCCTCAGTAATACCACCACTCAGCTGGAGAATCAGCTTACCAACCACCACACCAACAGCACCCAGCCTGATGCTGTGAAGAAGCAGCTGGAGGATGTTCAGAACATCTCAGGCCAGCTGAGAGAGGAGAGGAAGAAGCTAAAACAGGCGGAGGCCATCAATTCAGAGCTGTTGGCATTAGTGACTGAGGACTATCTTAAAGCAGATCTAGCTAGGCAACTGGAGAATGTCAGCAAACCTTTTAAGCAGCTGGAAGAAAAAGCAGGTTGGTCTTTTTATGTGCCACCGCATAAATGATGCAAAAGGTGTTTAAGTGATGTCTTTCTCACTCAAATATCTGTCTGTTGCAGCAAAACGAATTGAACAGTTAAACTCAACCTTTGCCAGCTCTCAGCAGTTCCATCAAACCTCCAAAGACTTTCAGTCATGGCTGGCTCAGAAGCTCCAAGAACAATCGACGCCCCTGCCCATCTCTGCAAAAGTGGACGTTCTGCAGCAAACCTTGGAGGAGCATAGCAAACTCCAGACAGCTCTCAAAGATCACGGGGAGGCTTACACTACGATCACTGGAGAAGGAGAGATGCTGCTGAAGAGCACGGAGGGTGCAGAGAAGTTAGCTCTGCAAGGACAGCTCCGTGCCCTCGCTTCCAACTGGGAAGAAGTGAAGAAGACATCCGCAGAACAGGGCGATCAACTTCAAGCTGCTCTCGTGAGATCTCAGAAGTATCACGACCATGCAGAGAAGCTGAGCTCTTGGATTCAGGATTGTGATGCCAGTCAGGGCCGTGTTAAGCTAGCTGTCGATCCGGTTGCTGTTGAAGGATCAATTTCTCAAGTGAAAGCTCTTCAGAAGGATGTGGACAAGCACAGAGGAGTGGTGGAGCAGCTCAACGCAGCTGCTGAAGGCCTTCTAGAGGTGGCTAATGCCGATGTTGAAGCTGTAAAAGAAGAGAAGGAATCCATCGGTAAAAGACTGGATAAAGTAGTGGAACGACTACAAACCAAAAGGGAATGCCTGGAGAAGATCTCACACACGATTAAAGACTTTAACGATGCCTACAAAGATGCAACAGGTCAACTTGAAGCAGCCAAAAAGCAGTTGGATTCCTATGAATCACAGGGCATCCAGGCACACAGCAACAATACCCTAACAAACATGAAAGCTCAACATAAGAGTTTAGAGGGAGTGCAGAACCAAGTGGAGCACATGAAGGCCTTGGCAAAAGATCTTGTAGCGGATGTCCCGGATGCAGAAGGAGTGACAGACCTCCTACTCCAGGCAGACAGCGTGGAGAAAGATTACAGCAACCTGAACATGAAGCTGGAGGAAGCATGCCAAGTGATGGAGAGTAAACTACAGGGGATTGGACAGTTCCAAAACAGCATCCGCGAGATGTTTACACATTTCACAGAACTGGATGATGAACTTGACAGCATGTCCCCAGTGGGTTTGGACTTGGCCACCCTTAAAGCACAGAAGGACAGCATTCAGAGTTTCACGGCGAAGCTGCAGGAGCTGATGGCTAACACGACCAGCGCTGGAGACAGCTGTAAGCAGATGATTAAAGAGTCGGAATCATCTCCTGATCTGTTGGGCCTGAAAAGAGATCTGGATGCTCTGAGTAAGCAGTGCGGTAAACTGTTTGATCGATCCAGGAGAAGAGAGGTCCAAGTGCAGAGCACTCTCACCAAGCTAGAAGAGCTGTACGATGAACTCCATCAAGTCGAGGAGAAACTCCTCAGAGCCATCGACAAGGAAGCATCTCAGGAGGTGGTCGCCATGGAGACAGATGCGATCAATCAGCAGCTAGAAGCCTTTAAGGTACGTTGATCACAGTTTAATATTTCACATTGATTTTATTGGTCAAAAAAGAATTTTTTTTTATAATTATTTAAAATAGAAATGGGAATACATCTGCAGAAAATCATATTTCTTTCTAATTTTTATTGCATACATTTAAAGGGCATCACATTTTGCATTCTTTTGTGCTCTATTGAGGGTTTGTACTGCCTCTATAAACACTTCAAACTAGAAAAATGGCGCATCAGTTTTTGTCAGTCTTTGTTTTTAGGAAATATGTAGCTAAAAGGAGCTGTTTCAGAAGGTACCCATTTGTGATGTCACAAACGGGGAAATTAGACTTAAACAAACCTCTCACGTGCCAGAGAACTGCTTGAGGAGCAGCAGCTCTGCTCCAAGCCCGTCCGAGACATTGGATATTGTCAACTTAAAGCAGCCAGTGGGGGATGGGTGGGCGGGGCCAGCTTCAACTTGTGTTCTTGAAGGTTCATTCTGGAAGGTATTTAAAATGTCAAATATTACTATAATAAATTGCAGTCTGGTACAAACTCTTCTATCTAAAATAATGTAATGATGCTGCAGAAATTTGGTGTAAGCCAGACTACTCCCCCACCCCCCACCCCCCAGTTTCAGAATACCAAAGTTAGATTTTCTTTGCTGCTTTTAAATCATTCACATGAATTGAAAACAATTAGCATGAAGCCAATGTGTGGGACAATACTCTTTAATGAGCATGCTCCCTACATTCTTGGCAATCTTCTGGGGACCGTGGGGGCTATTTGGGGCATTTGGATCTAACAAAGAGCTGAGATCCATGTTAAATGATGGGGCAAGTGGGACAGACCATAACAGCCAGGTGGTTATCAGCAGGGTGCCACATGATTCAGTCCTAAAGCTGATCTTCCACCCTGATCTCCTAAAATTCACACAGCTGTTTTAACTGGTTTGTGCCGTTTTAATGGTTGCAATGGTTTTAAAATGTAAAAGTTGGAAGAATTCTGGTTTATTTTCGATAATCATAAATATTTCTATAATATTCTTTTATCGTTTATTGCAATTGCCTAAAAAGTTTGCAGAAGACTTCATTGTTATCAGTTAAAGTTAAAACCCAGTTTGCTTCATATTTCCAGACAGATCCAAATATTTGAAAATCTCCTGAATTCCTGTGGGGTCCCCTTGAGAGGATTAACCTATATTGGATGTGAAATAATAAAAAGGCTTTTTTTTAATAGTATTAGGTTGTATTACAGTAAAACATGGTAAACAGCTGTGTAAAGGCAAATGGCTGTCCAAGGATGTAGGTCAAGGTTTTATTTTATTTTTGGGGGGTGGTGGGGTGATTTATTCTGTGCTCATGCAGGACTTCATCCTAGCCTTGCATAAATTAAAATATCGCTGATGTGTGGGGGTGGAGGTGTCAGTTTCTTTGATGTTTGTTATGCGGTAAAAGCTAAGCAGCTGTGTTGTCATGGTGCACACCCAAGCTTTGACCCGCTTTGAGCTGAAAGGAAACAAATGGCCTCAGCTGCGTGTGGGACGTCCTCTTTGTTATGACATCTGACATAAGTGGATTATAGCAAACACTGTTCAAATGTAAAAATTCATGCAAGTATTTGTGAAAACATGACTTGGTCAAACCGTGCTTTACTGTTGGTGACCCAGTGTGAAGATTAAGTGTGAAGACAGCGTGTTGATTGGTCTCTCGTGTGCTCTGTTGCCATTTTAGGATGAGTTTTGAAAGTGACTTTACAGTTTTATGTCTCCCAGGCACCTGAAGGTCACCGTGCATGTATGTTTCTGTGCAAAAGTTATTAGCCAACTTTCATTTTCGGATTAGGCATGTCAGTTCATTTATTTTTTTGTCCTACACTAGTTCACTTTAGTGATTTTTTAAAGCTTCTATAGAACAATGCAGTCAAGCATAAATGCTAAAAAGTGGGCAGATGTTTAAGCATCTCCAAAACAGGCTGAATAATTATTAATCCAAATCAATGAACTGTTCACTGTTAAAAACATGTTTTAATGATTATTTTTGTTGACTTTTTCATGCAGGCGGAGCACAAAAATAGTCTCCTACACCTATCTACTTCTGATAGAAAATAGATGGTGAAAGTCTAGGATTTGAACTGTCACTTTCTTGGGCTCATCCATCTTGACTCACGACGAGGAAGGCTGTTGCTGTTTTAGTGTCCAGAAACAGCAGAGAACGTCTCAGCTAGCAGAAGTTAACTGTTAGCATTAGCAACTCAACCACACAGCAGAACTCCTCCAGGCTTGTGTAATTTGTGGAGATAAACATCCATGTCGCAAAAGAGTCGGATGTAGAGTCGCGTTGCTGTTATCCAATCCGGGGGAAGATGTCCAAATATCAGGAAATAAGACTCCAAATCCTGTCGTGTTAAGCCCTCCTTTGATGTGACAGGCTTGTTCATGCCGATGCAAGCGTTTCTGTGCGTTCTTTACCCCGAGTACGGCTTTCAAGGCATTCATTCCTACCAGAAACTACCGCAAATGTATTGATTAAATGAGTTTAAATGAGTTTACCACACCTTTAAAAATAATGCAAAAGGTCTGAATCTGTGGAGGCAAATAGAGGGTAGTTTCTAACTTTTACAGAGTAGTAGATGTTCTCATTTGTTCCTTAAAGGTCCGTTTCAGTGACTCAACACTGCGGGGGATTGTGTGTGTTTCTTTTCTCTTTGTGCTCAGACATTACATCAGGTTCTCCTGCTCTTCTCAAAGAATTCCTGTTCTCTTAATCATAACTATTCCTGTTCATTGATGATGATAAAGCATTCACCACTATAGGACATTTGTACTGCTGCTTCTGTGTTTCATAAGGGCACGTTCTCCTTTAAGTGTAACCTGATCCTCTTATGGGCCAGTTTCAGCAGATATTGCATACATCATCTTACTCACAGGTGATTACAGTGGGGCAAAAAAGTATTTAGTCAGCCACCGATTGTGCAAGTTCTCCCACTTAAAATGATGACAGAGGTCAGTAATTTACATCATAGGTACACTTCAACTGTGAGAGACAGAATGTGAAAAAAATCCATGAATTCACATGGCAGGATTTGTAAAGAATTTATTTGTAAATCAGGGTGGAAAATAAGTATTTGGTCACTTCAAACAAGGAAAATCTCTGGCTCTCACAGACCTGTAACGTCTTCTTTAAGGAGCTTTTCTGTCCTCCACTCGTTACCTGTATTAATGGCACCTGTTTGAACTCATTATCTGTATAAAAGACACCTGTCCACAGCCTCAAACAGTCAGACTCCAAACTCCACTATGGCCAAGACCAAAGAGCTTTCGAAGGACACCAGGAAAAGAAGTGTAGACTTGCACCAGACTGGGAAGAGTGAATCTACAATAGGCAAGCAGCTTGGTGTGAAAAAATCAACTGTGGGAGCAATTATCAGAAAATGGAAGACATACAAGACCACTGATAATCTCCCTCGATCTGGGGCTCTGTTTCAAAATATATTTAAAATGAGCAAGAATAAGCAATTGCGATTTAAAAGAAAAAATGTTAAGAAAGAGAGAGAGTGAATAGGAAAGAGGGAAACCAGTGGATCCTGAGGAAGGTGGAATAGGTGGGGAGAGCAGAATAAAGAGAGAGTGGTGAAGAAGGTCATACAAAAGCCAGCTTGAACAAGTGAGTCTTCAGCTGCTTTTTGAAGGAGACCACTGAGTCCACTGATCTCAGGCTCAGGGGGAGAGAGTTCCAGAGTCTGGGGGCCACAGCAGCAAATGATCTGTCACCTTTGGTCTTTAGCCTGGTGCGTTGCACAACCAGTAGGCTTTGATCACTGGACCTCAGGGATCTGTTGGGGGTGTAGGGACTAAGAAGATCACCAATGTAAGATGGTGCTTGTCCATGTAAGGCCCTATAGACCAGAACCAGGATCTTGAAATGAACCCTGAAGTTGACTGGCAGCCAGTGAAGCTGGAGGAGAAGTGGGGTGATGTGGGTGTATTTGGAGGACTTGGTCAGAAGCCGAGCACAGGCATTCTGAACCACCTGTAGGCGGTTCAGGGAGGCTCTGCTCAGACACGTGAAAAGAGAGTTACAGTAGTCTAAGCGTGAGGAGATGAAGGTGTGGATAACTGTCTCAAGTTCAGAGTGGGACAGAATGGGACTCAGCTTAGCAATGTTCCTGAGATGGAAGAAGGAAGAGTGAACAAGAGAACTGACATGAGAATCCAGGGTGAGAGCTGGGTCAAAGGTCATGCCAAGATTCCTGACGAAAGGTTTGGTGTGGGAAGCAAGCTGACCAAGAGTCTCTGACTTTGGGAACCAGCTTGTCTGGGGCACAGATGAGGATCTCAGTCTTATCTTCATTCAGCTGAAGAAAGCTCCCAGCCATCCAGGTTTGATAGAGTCTAAGCAGGTGTGTAACAGCTGCAGCTTAGACATCTCATGGGGCTTAAAGGAGATGTACAGTTGGATGTCATCTGCATAAAGATGGTAAGAGATTCCTTTGAAGGAGCTCAGGATGTGCTGAAGAGGAAGCAGATAGAGGAGGAAGAGCAAAGTCCCCAGCACAGAACCTTGTGGGACACCATGGGTAAGAGAGGTGGTGGAGGACCTAAACTTGGAGGCGCCCACAGAAAAGGAGCGCTCAGAGAGATAAGAGGAGAACCACTCCATAGCAGATCCTGATAGGCTTACCCAGTCTCTCAGCCTCTCCAGTAGCAGGTGATGGTCCTGGAGTGGCCTAGCCAGTCTCCAGACCTCAACCCCATAGAAAATCTGTGGAGGGAGTTGAAAGTCCGTGTTGCTCTGCGACAGCCCCAAAACATCACTTCTCTTGAGAAGATCTGCATGGAGGAATGGGCCAAAATACCAGCTACTGTGCGTGCAAACCTGGTAAAGACCTATAGTAATCGTTTGACCTCTGTTATATCCAACAAAGGTTATGTTACAAATTATTGAGTTGAATTTTTGTTATTGACCAAATACTTATTTTCCACCCTGATTTACAAATAAATTCTTTACAAATCCTGCCATGTGAATT